GGGATCAATGCAGGCTCCTGGCTGCGATGTGCGTCAGGTATGTGGCTCTAATAGATGCTTTTTATCTTGGAGGCTAGAACAGGAGAGAGCTGCACAGGCTTCCCCTTTGTCTGCCAGCAGGCCTAGGGACTGAAGAGGGGGATGGTTTTCATATGCTATTTGCCTTTTGGGCTCTGAGTAGTGTTACGTTTAGGAAATGAGGTTTGTAGGGAGTGTGCGTGTTCCATGGTAAGTATTGTATGAGAACAACATCCTGGGGTAGCGTATTTGTGCAGGGATGTTGCAGCAAATCGTGGCTGTTGATTTCCCAGCAGTGAATTCAGCTGAGAGGAGGTAGGATGAATGGCTTTGAGCAGTGCTGAAGCTGCTCCTGTAACGTCAAGCTGTGTGTGTACGTGTGGGATTTGTTTCCTTGCAGCTACAATGCTCAGACACTGTTTGGGTTTGGGGCTGTGGGTGGGGGGCTTTTGGAGCAGATATTTGGGAAACTGCTTTTGTGAAGCCTGAAAAATAATCTTTCAGTTGTACTGTGTATAAATTTTAACCAAATCAGGGTCAGAACCGGAGGAAATGTAACAGAGCTGTAGATCATGCAAGTGTTTTGTTTTGAAAATGATGGAATATAGCATTCACTGCTTCCATCCCTGGCAGTGTTCAAGGCCAGGTTGGATGGGGCTTGGAGCAACTTGTACTAGTGGAAGGTGTCCCTGCCTATTGCAGGCTTTGGAACCAGATGAGCTTTAAGGTCCTTTCCTGCCTAAATCAGTCTGGGATTCTATGAGTATCAGTTGGGTTTTGCTGGTCTTGCATGGTGGGAACCAGAAGAGAAGGTGACAGAGATTTTCTCAAGCAGAGTCTGTAGGTTTGTGATTCTCAGCCCTTATGACGGCTTCCTTGGACCCGATGGCATGGTGAGTTTGTGGTGGCCTCCCTGCAGAGGTGAAGGGAAGTGGGAGCCTGGAGAACCTGGGAGAGCAGAGCGTCGTGGCTCCATCTGTGCCTGCTGGGTGTGGGAGCAAGGTCTGCAGCACCCCTGGGTGAGTGCTGTGGCCAGAGGCCCCGCAGGTTGCATACTGCTGTTTTAAAAGGAGTTGAATGGGAAAGTTGGGCAGTTTGAGCAGTTCTTCAAATAGGAACAAAGGCGGAGATGTGAGAGAGGAATTCAGTTATTAAGTAGATGCATAACGTTGGGGTTTTCTGTTTCTTCTTTCCCTGTCTTGTCTCTGGTGATTCCTCTCCCCTCTCACTACCACAGTGTGTCGCTGTCCCCTTTGCCCTTCTGCCGACAAATCTCGAGGAAACCGATCTGCAGAGGGTTGTTTTGCTTGCACTTTATCGGGCACATGCTGGTCGCTGCTGATTTTGACTCTGCTGTTCTTAGCTCCCTGTCCCCTGCGGTGACCTTACGTTGCCCTCAGGGTTCCATGCTGTCATCATGTGAATGTGACACTTTTCCTCCTTGTTCCTTTTATTAAGCGATCCTCTCCTGGGTGATGCACACACACTCCAAGAGTGTGTGCTATGGAATCAAAGCTGTGCTGCCCGCAGATGGCCCTGCACTGGAACAGGCCCAAATGTCATGGAATTGAGAAATGTGGCCCGGTTGCTGCGTCTAGTTCCAGGCCAAGTTTGCTCCTCGCTGTACAGCTGCAGTCATCGTCCTTATCCTGGCCTTACCCCCAAGCTTGTAGTTTATGTATGGGCTCAGTACTGAGCATACTTTGTTCCTTTCTCCAATGATGTTATTGAACCTTGGGACACTTCATTTTGATAGCACTTGGAGGAATTTCATTTCCATTTTAGAGGTGGAGACACAGAGGCACAGAAGCTGTGACTTGTCCGGGTCTCCCAGCTTCCAAGCTGGTGCCCAGCACGTTCTGTTGTCTATGGCTGGGTCACTACTGTGTCCTGTGTGCCTGTGCAAACTGTCTTGGCACCTCTGGAATTGCTTTCCTTGCCACCTCCCCACCCCTCCTGGAAATGTGCTATTAAATCCTGTGTGTGGCTTGCATTCTTGGGGCAGACCAGCCCCTGTGCTGCTCCTTTGCTGTCGGCAGTGAGGTGCCTGCTCCCATCTAGGCACGTCGGTTTCTCTGGATGCTGGGGGAGCACATGGGGACAACCCTGTGGTCTCCACTTCCTTGCATGACTTCCACTGTGGGGAGCAGGAGCTGGGGCTCACCACTGGCTGGGGGAGCCGCCGCACATCACCGGGGCTGCCACAGCGGTGCTGGGCGTTAAGCCTGGTTGCGTAACCTGTAGCTCATTTTCTCTCTTTCCTGATTAGCTGCTTTCCTCTGAATGCAGAAGGGGGAAGCTGCTCCCCGCACTGTGCGTGCTGCGTCACGGGAGAGCGGCTCACACACAGAGAGGGGTGGTGGAAAGCAAGGGACAAAGGTTAAAAGAGCGAAGCAATCTGGGAAGCGGCGCGGCTTGAAGGAGAACTGCACCGAGCGCAGGAGGCTGTTTGCAGCTTGCTCCTGCAGGGCTCTCAGAATCAAATAGCAGCAGCAGCACTAGAGGAGTCGTAAGCCAGCCTGAGATCTGCTCATTCCCTCACTGAGACAGCATGGAGGATTCTGCAGAGCAGAGTCAGGAAATGAGATATCACATGCTGCAAAGGTAAGAGTTACCCATGCGAGCATCTCCGCGGTGCAGCAGCTCTGCTGGGCTATACGCATAAAGATACACAAAAAGTGGGAATGGCGCTCCAGACTGGGAATGCATACTGCTGTTTTCCCATGTTCGTTTCATCCTTTGAAACCTTGCCAGTTACCTTGAGGTATCTGTGCACGCAGTCTGTAAGCAGGATGCTAGAATACATTTTAGTGGGGGAATCAGTGTTAAAAGAGTTGGAGATTCTGTGACTTCCTGCTCTATCAGCTCTGAAGGATAGACGGGTGTTTTGGAAGGTCTTGCCTAACAAAACACAGCATCTGTGAGCTGGTGATTAGGAGGGATGGCTCAACTCAGCATTTATCCTGTTTTGTTTAGAGCTCAGTGTTCTTTTTGCTGTGCTGCCCAACTTCTGCTTCGTCTTACCCTACAGAAAAAGAATCATCTCTCCTGTTCTGACACAATATGCAGCCGGTGGTTATTGGTAAATACAGCTAATGTTCTTGATATGTTTGCTGCCACAAAGGAAACTGAACTCTGCTTGCTCATAAACAAGTGTTTGTGCATTATTTTGGATGATGAACCTCTGGTTCTTTTGACATTTGAGCTGGAGCAGTATCTTTATGCGTATAGTAGAAACTACTACAGGCAGGATAGTTCCTATTCGTGTGTGTTCACACATTCTGAGCCCAGGATTTTGATCTCTTTTATTCCTATTTTTGGTGTGACTGCCCTCAATAAACCTGCAGTGAATTAACCTGTCTCACTTGCTGGACTGTGCTCCTTGACACAGAGTCTGACCCTCTTTAAACACACAGATTTAGTAGAAATTCAACCTTAACTGCACCTTTCCTCTTTTTTTTGCCTGTTAGCTCCTCTCCTTGAATTCTTGAGCTTTGTAACAGCAGTCTGAACTCTTGCTGATAGCAACGAGTTTTAAGTTCATTGACTGTTTATCTCTGAAAGTGCAGTTAAGAAGAAGGGAAAGTAATACAGGGGAGAAGCTTTGTGCACCTCACTCGGTCTGTGCCTTTCTGTTTGTATCAGCTAGCAGGTTACTGGACTGGGTGTGCAGCCAGTTGAATATCCCAGACTCGCACTGGGAGACAGGCATCTGTTTTTGTAGTGTGCTTTAAAATCACCCCACTGATCTTGTTTCCCTGTTACCTTCTCCACTCTTGGCTTCAGGGATCGTTTCAAGACTGCTTTCACTCTGCATAAAACAGGTTTTCACTTATACCAAGACTCAACTTGAAGTCAAGCATGGGCATTTGTCATGGGAGAGAAAGACTGATGTGTCTGAGCTTCAAGGGCTGCTTTCTTGCTGTTCTGGAAAACCTTAAAAACAGAATCAGGGTTTGCCACAGTAGAAGGGAGGAACCTGCTTTGTCCTGTGTGGGGTAGATTGGCATGTCTTTATGGTCAGATCTGGGCACTGATCTTGCCTTACCTGAAAATGTCACCTTTCCTTCTCATACAGTTCATAGTTGATTGTACCAGATTTGGCACATAGCTTTTTGAGTAGGTTGTTCTGGATGACATGGATCCAGCTCTTCCTTGTTAATGTGTACTGCAAGGTCTAGGCTGCTTTAGCACCGTGCTCGTTCAGAGGAAACATGCATAAGAGAAGAACCTGGAGTTAACCAGACACTCGCTACTGTTTGACCAAGGCTTCCTTCATCAGCAAATTTCTTGGTCAGAACACACGTTACTGATGCAGAGTTAAGGAGGGTCTGCATTCCAGATGGGTAAATCTTCATAGGCTGGAACATATTTATGGGGTAAAGTGAGGGACAGTCTGCCTGTTTCCTCTCAGGCTGTCACAGAACACCTCTAACAGCAGCTCATTGCAGCCAGGTTGCTCCAAACCTTCTGTGGGGCAGTGAGCCCCACAGTTACAGCTCTCAGCTGCCTGACCTCAGTGGCTGTGCTTATGAAGGGAGATCTCTAGATGCTGCACATGTCCTTGGCTTGGTTTTCGCGTCGTGCCCTCCCTGTGGTGTTGCTCAATGGTAGCAGCTCTCCAGCAGCTGATCAGGGCAGAGGTTCCTGATGGGTTTCCACTGGTTCAAGGGCAGCCAGGAGGGCCTGCCTGGCTCCTGGGGACTGATGCTGGAGTGGCACCACTTCTCTAATAGCACTGTCCCCCTTGGTTGCTGTTGGGTCTTCCCAAAGCACTGAGTTGTTTAAATACCTTCCTACTGTTCATCCCTCCTTCGTAACCAGTCATCCCTGTAAAAGCTGAGGACCAGGTCCCGGTGGCCTGGAGGCAAGGAGTGATCTGCTTCTCTGCCTGGGAAATATGGTCAGGGGGAACTTTAACAATGATCTGTGTACATTTGCACTGCCAAGTTGCCTTTTTCTGTCTCCCACAATTTCCCTAGGCCCAGCATGTCTGGTTTACACCTTGTGAAGCAGGGCCGGGACAGGAAGAAAGTTGATGTGCAGCGGGATTTCACTGTGGCTTCTCCAGCAGAATTTGTTACTCGGTTTGGAGGGAATAAGGTTATTGAAAAGGTAAATTATTGACCTCTTTCTCTTCAGCATGTTGCATTGTGTTCCCTTCCCTTGAGCTAGGATGTCTCTCGAGAAGGCTGTCCATTGCTGCTACCAAAGTTAATATTCCTGAAGTTGAAAGTTGTGCTTGTGCCTATAACCATTGTGTTCCCGTTTCATTTGCTATGTGATAAATAAACATCCCATTGTTTTAGCTTAGTGTGACGGGGGAAAAACTTAGTGAGCTTGAGCACTTGTGCAGCTACAGAAGGATTTATGGAGAGCTGTAACAAAAGTAGACTGGAAAAACACTGAGAAATGTATTTAGAAATATCATTTAATGAATGAAGTCTTTTCTTATCAGGTATTGGAAGTTTTAGGTACTTGTTAGGCCTATTTTCCTGTGTCCTGCTCTTTAATCCAAATGAGACATAATACATTAAAGTCTTTATGGTCAAGCAAGAGCCAATTTCTAAATTGACTGATGGGCCATTAAATGTTCTTGCTGAATTGAATGCTGCCCAAGGAAACTGCACAGCCCCAGAATTGGACCAAGAGTCTTCAGAGAACTGTTCTCATTATCATTTGGTATTGTTTAGACTCTGTTTCATCCCTGCTTCTAACGTGCTCAGGTGCTGATAGCAAATAATGGCATTGCAGCGGTGAAGTGCATGAGGTCCATCCGCCGGTGGTCCTACGAGATGTTTCGAAACGAGAGGGCCATCAGATTTGTTGTTATGGTGACTCCTGAGGATCTGAAAGCAAATGCAGGTGAGTGGTGAAGACCAGTGAAGGTGCAGAACCCTCTCCTCGCACAGACCTCTGTGCGCACAAGAAGTTCAATGTTTGTCCGTGCATCGCGTCCCATTCTGGCAAGTAACTGATCCTTCTGGGAGGAGATGGGGTACTTCCATCCATTCCATTTAGGGAATTTTAGACCAAGTCCCGTTTATTAGGTTTGCAACCTAAAAGAGCCCTTCTTTGTGTTTGCAGAGTATATTAAAATGGCAGATCACTACGTCCCAGTTCCAGGAGGACCAAACAATAACAACTATGCAAATGTGGAACTCATTCTTGATATTGCAAAGCGGATTCCAGTGCAGGTGAGAAGGGTCAAAAGTACTTCTCAAAAAAGGAGCTAACATACTAAGCAGTCGTCTCTCTGGGGAGATAGGTCAAAGAAATTGAAATCACAGATCTCTGCTAGCACCAGAGGGCACAATGCTTGTTACAGTGCAGTGGATTTCCCAGCATGAATACCTGCAGGAGGTGGAAGGTTCCCTTCAGCCTTTTGCTTCCCTGCACTTGGTTGCTCTTCGACAGCTTCCTGCAGCAGCCTTCTTTGACTTGTCTACAAGATGCAAGGCAGTAGCCCTTTAAACTGAGCTTACCATGTAGTTCAGGGGACTGGTCTGGCTTCTGAATGTTACCAGGCTGTTTCCAGTGGGGAAAAGAAAGACGTTAAGTATCTGCATGCTTCCTCTTTCCACTTGTTCTCCTAAAACAAAGAGTAAATTATGCTGTTTTCTTCTGCAGGCTGTGTGGGCTGGCTGGGGCCATGCATCTGAGAACCCTAAACTACCAGAGCTTCTCCACAAAAATGGGATTGCTTTCATGGGTGAGGATATACTCCTCTGATCTGATGTCTGGTCCCTATTTTAAGATGGAGAAATTTAGGGGGAGAAAATCCTGAGTCTAAAAGAGAGCCATGAGGGATGGTTTACAAGTGCAAGGTGAATGATATGTTCTTTATGGTAGTCAGAGCAACACACTGTGCTGTCTAATGGTGTACTCTGTTACCAGTAATTGAGGCTAATGAAAACAGATAAGGTTTGAACATATGCCAGGAATTAGTTCTTGTATGGGAGAATTGGCAAGTTCTCCAACACACCTTTGAATATTGTGGATGCAAAATCAGAAAAGATTCCTGTTAAAGCAGGTTGTTTCACAAGCTGAATGTCCCTGTTGTCATTTTGAAGAGGGTGGTTGTAGTCAGGGTTTCTGGAAAGAGTGGAGTTTTCCATGGACAGTCCATGAAGTTTGTGATCCGGTTAGCAGTGTAGTTAACTAAGTGCTGGAGATGTTTGGTGCAGTAAGCCTCATCCCCTGAACCACATGAATCTGCATGTTAGATAAAGTTTTGGACACATGTGATGTTTAAAGATAGGCATGAAACCTAGATTAGACTTCTGGATGTTTGCCTAATGGCTGCTGTCTCTTGTGTTTCTCATGTGTCGTTTTTGCTCTTTGCAGGTCCTCCAAGCCAAGCAATGTGGGCCTTAGGAGATAAAATTGCTTCTTCCATAGTGGCACAGACTGCTGGCATTCCAACTCTTCCTTGGAGTGGCAGTGGTAAGAAGGAAACTGCCATGTGCTTATCAAGATCATTCTAGTAATATTTTCTTCCCCCCCCATCTAATCTTTAAGAAGTGCCTCAGCACAAAAGGGTGTTCCAAGGGATGTTCCCTCTGTTTCGAATTTCACATCTGTATTTGAGGCTTAGCTACTGTGATATATATGGATATGCCAGGCACAATTCCCATGTTGTGTCATGGGCTGCAGCTCTAACAGAAGAGCTGTAATATCTGGTGTTTCTGCAGTCTTCTAGCATGGAGTGTGTAGTTTTGGGGCACATAGTCAATACTCTGCTTCCATGGAAGCAGTATGCAGTTTGAGAAGACAGAATTGCACAGGTGAAATGAAAGAGGATATCACTTGTTGCTTCTGCTCCCCAGGAAGCAGAAATGTCTCTTTGCATTCTGCATTCTCTCTCTTCTGAATGCTTCCAGACCAGTTCCTTGTGGAACTGGTTTGTTTCCACTGCGACTGTGTTTTGACTGCTGTTTGTTTCACTCGTGTCTGCTGTGTGAGATCTCACGAGCTAAGAAGATGCTGCTTTTATTTCAGGTCTTCGAGTGGACTGGCAGGAGAATGATCTGCAGAAGCGAATCCTCAATGTTCCTCAGGAGCTGTATGAAAAAGGCTATGTGAAAGACGCGGACGATGGACTGCGGGTGGGTGGCTGGTGGTCTGGAGGTATTTGAGGTCTTGCTGGAGAGAGCTAGAGGTTTGATGTATTTGTAGTGGGAGGACAAACTAGAACTAGGCTGTCAGCCTCACAGAGCTGAGTCTTGGAATCTGGAAAGGGATCTTTCATATGGACCCCCCCTGCAGGATGAGGTGGGAATTAGGAGCGAGGCAAGATATGGAACCAGGGTTGGATTTCACTAAGGACTCTCTTCTGGGTTTTGGGTAATGCAGGAAGGAGGTGGTTTTAATAACAGCCCATGGCCTCATACTTGATCTCATCTTTTGCCGAGTTTCTCTTTGAGGAGGATTTCTAGAATAAGAAATATTGCTGGCACAATGCAGGATTTGGAGTTTTCCTTTGTGAAGAAAGGCAGTGGGATGCATGATCTTTGTGTTACCCAGTGCAACGACTTCCTGTCTTTTACAAAAGCTTTTCTGTGAGTTAGTGAATTTAATGACAAAAGATTTTATGATCGCTTTGAGAAGCAAGAGTCACAAAAGCACTGCTCTTTTTTCCAACTTCAGGCATCCTCTCAAACTGGGATATTTGGTTTCTATCCCAGTCATGTCTTGGTTACTAAAGAGGCAGGCACAGAAGCTTGGACACAAATCAACAGGAAAATAAAGATCTTTTCAACTGTTTTGTACTTACCCATGTTTTGCTGCCCATCTTGGTCAGGCTGCTGAGGAGGTTGGCTACCCTGTCATGATCAAGGCTTCTGAAGGAGGAGGAGGAAAAGGAATTAGGAAGGTTAACAACGCAGATGACTTCCCCAACCTCTTCAGACAGGTAACTTCTCCCTTTGGTTTGTGCTGTCTTGTTCTGAATGCTCAAGGTTGGGTGATTCTGAGACCTCTGTATCAGAAACGTTAAAGAGCTGAAGAAGACTGCATTATGTGTCAGAGTGTGTTTAGCTACTTTGAATCACGACTTCATGCTTTGCCCTGTATGTTGACAGGATTTCACTCTATCTGCATATCCAGTACAGTTGTCAAATGCCCAGACTTTATTGGAGGTGCTGAATAAATCCAAGTAACAGAGGGCATGAGCAGTGTAACTCAGATGTTGAGGGACATGAGCCTTCTTTAGCTTGTGAGTTACTTAGGAAAGCTGAGAGGAAAGGAAACGGTGCTGTAGTTGTATGCAAGTGGACAAAGTGTATTCTCAGCCTTAGGTGGCCCAGGGGAAGCACTATGGAAGTTTCTTGCTTAAAAAAATCAGTTGGGATGGTTGTGACTAAGGTGCTTACAGGAATGATCAGTGTATTTGTGTTGTCTCTGCTGTAGGTTCAAGCTGAAGTCCCAGGCTCTCCAATCTTTGTGATGAGACTGGCCAAGCAGTCCCGGCACCTGGAGGTGCAGATCCTGGCGGATCAGTATGGCAATGCCATCTCGCTCTTTGGCCGGGATTGCTCCGTGCAGCGCAGGCACCAGAAGATTATTGAGGAAGCACCTGCTTCTATTGCAACTTCGGTGGTGTTTGAGCACATGGAACAGGTGAGGGGGGTTCTCTTTGCCTTGTGAGACTCCAGAAACAGGCAGCACTTAGGGGGTTTTCTTGACATCATCAGGATGTTTTGCACTCTTGAATCTTCTGTAGAGCAATATAGGGTTATGTCCCCCACACTGGTTAGTGTGGGCTCACATTCCCAATGGGACTCACATTTCAAAGCTGAGTCCACCATGAAATAATATAGCAATAATTTAATACCACGTAATATCACAAAAACCATTTAAACTGCGCTTCTCTCTTATTTTTGGGGTACATGCATTTTAAGGGCTGCTCCACAGCTGTCACATTAAAAGCAAGCTGTAAGAGTTCCATGAATTGTTCGATGCTGAATATTAAATATTTGCTTCAAACTCTGGCTTCTGTAACTTGGAAATCAAAGCTCCTGTGCCACGTGCTTTTCTCTGAGCAGTTTTTAGGCCTGTTCCAAGCTTTTGTGTGTTTTGGAATGCCAACCAAAAAGTCTGAAGGAGGAGGAATGGATGAACAGAGCGCAGTAACTGAGTGCAGGGCCTGGAAATCAAGTGCTTCTTTTCCTATATCCTAGTGTGCAGTGAAGCTTGCCAAAATGGTGGGGTACGTGAGTGCTGGCACTGTGGAATACCTGTACAGCCAGGATGGCAGCTTCTACTTTCTGGAGTTGAATCCCCGCCTGCAAGTGGAGCACCCCTGCACAGAGATGGTGGCTGATGTCAATCTGCCTGCAGCGCAGCTCCAGGTGAGTCAAGTGCCCAGGCCCTGGCTCCTGGAGGCTTTCAGAAGTACTCAAACTATATGAAGCATGAAAAACCTGTTCTGCTGAAGGCTTAATAAAACGGGGGTGGATTGTTGTCGTGAGTCAGAGTTCTGTGTTAAAACCAGATGGCATACTCACACTGCAGATGAATAGATTGTGGTACTGATAGAGGAGAGAATATAAAGCCAAGTGTTAGAGAGCTCTGCTAAATATGGCCTGTATCTGCATGTGCAGATAGGTGATATACGGCATGTCCACATCTCCTCCTCTACAAAACACCCAGTAATTCAAAGACCTATTTTGGTCCAGCTCTACAGAACACCCAGTAATTCAGAGGCTTATTTTGGTACCCTCTCAGCTTGGGGTTGATCTTCTATGGCTGGAGCAAAGCTTTGTTCAGTATTCCACTGTATATATATATATATGTGTGTCTGTATATATATATATAGATGTATATGCATCCATCCTATTATAACTCACTAAGTTATGGCCTTGCTGTTTGGCTCTTTCTGATTTGGAAAGCAAAGAGAGGTTATTTTCTAGTTGTTTCTCCTGGACTGCTTCAGGTAAAAGGATTGTGAAGAGAAGCTCCTCTTCTCTGCTCTCGTGAGACCTCACCTGGAGCATTGTGTGCAGTTCTGGTGTCCTCAACATAAAAAGGACATGGAGCTGTTGGAACAAGTCCAGAGGAGGCCACGAGGATGCTCAGGGGCTGGAGCACCTCCTGTAGGGAGACAGGCTGAGAAAGTTGGGGCTGTTGAGCCTGGAGAAGAAAAGCTGTGTGGAGACCTCAGAGCAGCTTCCAGTGTCTGAAAGGAGCTACAAGGATGCTGGAGAGGGACTCTTCATCAGGGACTATAACGATAGGACAAGGGGTGATGTGTTCAAACTGAAACAGGGAAAGTTTAGGTTAGATATAAAGAAGAAGTCCTTCCCTGTGAGGGAGGTAAGGTGCTGGAACAGGTTGCTCAAGGGAGTTGTGAATGCTCCATCCCTGACAGTGTTCAAGGCCAGTTTGGACAGAGCCTTGGTTTGGTGCGAGGCATCCCTGTCCATGGCAGAGGGCGTTGGAACTGGATTATCTTAAGGTCCTTTCCACCCGGAATCATTCCATGATTCTATGAATAGTTCAACTTTAAGCACTGAGATTATTTTGTGAAACAAGTTGACAATTCGGAGCCTTCTGTCTCATGAGGACCTTAATAGAACAGGCCTTAAAGTGTGCCCATCCTTAGCTGAGCCAGCACTGGCCAGCTTTCTCTGGAGCCCTTTAATCACTCAATGGAAAACAGTGGCTGAAGGGCTTAAGGTGGATATTACACTGAGCTCAGCTGTCCTGAGAAGTATGAACATTCCAAGACGTGTCAATGGAGACCAGAAAACAGGCATGTGTGTGTATCTGCTCTACTGGAACCGCAGCATCAGCTTCTGCAGAGAGTTGGAGTTAATTCCTCAAGGAATAGGCACTCTCAGGGAGGAGGGAAACTTACTTAGCGGTGCTTTATTATTTGCATAATCATAATCACTATTATTAGATGTATATTTATCTGTTTCAATTATATTTTCCCTTAGATTGCCATGGGGATCCCCCTCCACAGGATCAAGGATATCCGAATGATGTATGGTGTTTCTCCGTGGGGAGATGGATCTATTGACTTTGAGAACTCAGCCCACGTCCCCTGTCCCCGCGGCCATGTCATCGCTGCACGTATCACCAGTGAGAATCCTGATGAGGTGAGTGCTTTAAACTCGTAGTTAACTGACCACACGCTGAGAACTGGGGCCTTACAGCAAGGTTCAGTCCCTGCTGCTGCTCCCTGCTGAACATTCTGGCAGCAAATATAAAGCATTCTTCCCTTATCTCATTTAGCTGATGGTTCTGTTTAGACACAGCCTGAACTTATTTGTGTATATGTGATGTTGCAGCACAAGAAGTGCTCTGGCCTTCAGAACTCTGATTACTTCCCTAATTCTGGATTATTTACTTTTTCTTTAGGGTGTATAGCAATGTCTGTCTGTCTTTGCAGGGATTTAAGCCCAGTTCTGGAACAGTTCAGGAGCTGAACTTCCGCAGCAATAAGAATGTCTGGGGCTATTTCAGTGTGGCTGCTGCAGGAGGGCTGCATGAGTTTGCTGATTCTCAGTTTGGTCACTGCTTCTCTTGGGGAGAAAACCGGGAAGAAGCCATCTCGTAAGTACTCAGAAAAGTGGGACAACCTTGGTAATGGCTTGGTTTTGTCCTCTTTGATCCAAAGTGCCATGGAAAAACGAGGCTGCTTCCTTACTTGTAGGAGTTTGAAGTTTCCCTCTCTTTGCCATGTTTCCCACAGCACGGTCAGGCTTCTCATCCTGTCTTGATTTGCAGTTCCACTGTGTTGGCACCTATGTTTCTACACTTTTTGCTTAGTTTATGTTTTATCTTTCTCTTTCATTCCTGCCTTGTGTGCCTACTGCTGGGATATGGTGCAGCTACTGGTGTATTGAAGTCCTTCCTAGAAAGCATTTGGGTGGAAGGCTTCTAACAGGACAAACACTGATAACTTGTTAGGCCAGTGCCTTATAATGGTTTGTAAACCACTGAGCGTCCTTTTGTCGTTTGGAATGAGGAAGCATCCAGTCACAAGACAGGACTGTCTGACCTGTCATCTAGGCTCCTTTTGCATCCATAGCCTTTTCTCTCTTCCATTCTTTGTGGGATGGAGACCACATCTGTCTGTCCTATCTAAGCTCCTGACATGTGGTAACAGTGAGAATGCCTGGTTTATAGCTTGGCTGGTTGAGCTCCTCTTGTTCCCACCTGCACCAGATTGAAGGAAATTAACGTTCTTTCATTCCCAAGCTTGTTATACGGGATCTTGGTCCAGTGCACGTGCTCTTCTGCTGTTACCTTCAGGCTGTTTTTTTCCCAGCAGCTCATAAGGGGGAACTACCTGAAGTCAACCAGTTTGCACATCGTTGCTGTTAGTATGGGATAGATAATCGGTTTTCCTCTCTCTTTCAGAAACATGGTAGTGGCTTTGAAGGAGCTGTCCATCCGAGGGGATTTCCGAACCACTGTGGAGTACTTGATTAAACTCCTGGAAACAGAAAGCTTCCAGCAGAACCGCATTGACACGGGCTGGTTGGATCGACTTATCGCTGAGAAAGTTCAGGTGCAGCTGCTTCCGTTACAGACTACAGATTGGAGTGAGAAGAGAAAGGGGATGTGAGGACAAGCTTGGTGCATGCTGGTTGCAAGAGGATAAGGATTTAGGAGTGGTTAATTTCTGCTTATTGCTTTATGAATTAGTATTTTCATTGGCCTTAGTTCTTATTTATAGCAGACAACTACCCAACCATCATGAGATTGACTAGAAAAGCATCTTAGTGTACATGGGAATTAAGGCTGGTGTTTCGGTTTGCAGTTTGGGACAGATTTAGTGGACGTGTAGGTGGAGCCTCAAGGTGTGATCCAGGAATTAAGAAGTGTGGCCTTCTTTGAAGGAGTTACAAATGTAATTGCTTCTATTTGTATTTGCATGGATTCCTCATCAATTAAGAAAGGTCAGCCGTGAGCCAGAAATAAAGCTGAGATTACTTGTTTCTGCAAGTGGTTGTCCAGAGTGGACTGAAGCTAAAGGAGATAGAATGGTGTTGTGTACCCTTCCTTTCTAGGCTGAAAGGCCTGATACCATGCTGGGAGTGGTGTGTGGAGCTCTGCATGTGGCTGATGTCAGCTTCCGCAACAGCGTCTCCAACTTCCTGCACTCCCTAGAAAGGTAAAATTGCTGAGAAGCCCATAGTCATGAGCTGTGATTTACAAGTTTCATTCAGGTCCAGTCCAGAAACACACAGAGCTTGTTGTCTGCTGACTCTTCTCTGGCAGACTCTTCCTAAGAAGAGGTGGTTTAAAAGCTTGCTCCCATCTCTCTGCTAGTGTTTTCCAAACTCTTGCATGCATCCCTGAACCTACTTGGGCCCCTGGTAGCAGTTCAATGGGTTCTAAAAGACCAGTTTCGTTTTGTACTTCACTTTCAAGGGGCCAAGTCCTGCCTGCTCATACACTGCTGAACACTGTGGATGTGGAACTCATCTATGAAGGACGAAAGTATGTGCTGAAGGTATGATGCACAGTGTGGATACCCATCCTCTTGTCTCTTTTACTTGGGAATGCCTGTGCTGTTCTTGCTTAATCTTTGTAATGTATAATTACTGGAATTAAATCTGTTCAGAGTTCATTTTCTCTGCTTTAGTGGGGTTGGGCAATCATTACAATCTCCCTTATGGTGATATCCCATCACATCTTCCCATTGCAATATCTTTCAGGGTCATTTTAATCTTTCAGGGTCAAGACATGCTCTGCATAGGGTGGAGAAAACTTTGTGACTGGCAAAGAATACTGCCTGTTGGTTGACCAGAACTTTCGATTGATGTCTCTGAACACGTAGCTCTATTCTGTTGGTGTTTGAGCCCAGTTTCATCAGCATGACCAGAATCTGTAGTATTTTTTCCCTTTAGTGGTGCTTTTTCGTTGCTGTATGCGAAAAGACCATGTTAGAAACACTGTTGAGAGGTTTCAAAGCCAAATGTACAAGGGTTAGGGAATACTAGACTGAAGATCGCCTGTGCAATCTCAATGAGCTTACTTGGGCAAATTTATTACAGTGCAGCTTTTAATGACGTGACCATACACTGCTTTTTGCAGCTATAAATATCGTGCACCTCTGTGGTTGTATTTTGGCACCCCTTTGCTGAGAGACACAGAACAGCACTAAAGGGTGCTCTAAGCATTTACCCAGCTTCAAGCAGGAGCTCTGTGGCAGAGGCTGTGGTAGGATGCCTTTCTCCAGGGAGAGCTTTAGCTGCTTTCTCCAGGAGACAATCTCTTGTTCATTGGGCAATATTAGTACATGACTGTGCTTTGTATGTAGATCATGGTGAAGAAATGGTATATGATTGCATAATCAATCCTGTACTATTAATGCATTGGTGTGAAAGGATTTAATCAAGATTAATGGACAGCATTAGTTCTGGCATCTCTCGACTGCTAAATGCTTGGCCTTGTGATCCCGAATTCTTGTGCTTTTCCCATCTAACATGAGAACAAGTGGCTCTGTTCCCCTTCAATTCCCACTGTTGGAGTGCTGGAAAACTGTCTGTTGTGGCAACCAAGGCACTGTAAATGCTGGGTTCATTTCATGGGCTCCATACTTTTCCTGTGGACCTGCAGGTGACCCGTCAGTCTCCCAATTCCTACGTGGTGATCATGAACAGCTCCTGTGTGGAGGTGGATGTGCACCGGCTCAGTGATGGAGGACTGCTCCTGTCTTACGACGGTAGCAGCTATACTACCTACATGAAAGAAGAAGTGGACAGGTAGCAACCTGTAAAGATCGCTGTTTCATTTGCAAACAAGACAGAATTAGGTGTATTTGTAACTTTACACATCAGTTGGGAACGGGATTCTCTCCTACGAAGAGGCTGCTGGGCGTAGCATGGATGAGTTTAAAGGGACAAGTTGCTTTCACCTGAAGAGCAGATCTTGGCTACTGTTAAAGATCTGGATGTGCGTGGAGTCCATGTTCTGCTGCTGGTTCTTTAAAAGTGCCCTTTTGGGTTATAAAAAACCCAAACAAAAACTAGAATATGAAAATCTTCGAAATCCTTGAAACCCCACAAGTCCCCCAGAAACAGACCCAAGATTTGCTATTTCAGTGCATTCCCTCAAAACCCCCTGCAGGGATCAGAGCCATAAGGTCCGTAAATCTCCCATCTTCTGGAACATGAGCCACTGCCCCCTCTGCTGGTTTCTTTTCTGTGACAAATGTAACGAATCTGGTCAGGAGTACAAGGAAAGTTTGGATCACTCCTGCTCTCTTCAGCTTTGTGCTGGACACAGGATGGTTTTGCACGGGCAGTTTGGTGCATGTGTTGAGTGTTCTGTGTAGCAAGTGTCATCTCCAGTAACACCAGCCTTTGTTTATATGAGATCTGGAGCTTCCTTGGTTCTGGTTCTGGTAATGAGCGTTTTGTGGGGAAGCAACACAGAAGTGGCACACTACCAACCTTGCTAAGGGCTGTTGTGTCTGGTTTCTGATCCTTGGCTTCCATAGGCTCAGTTTGATACATTTAACATGAGCTTTCAGATGCAGGGCTGGGCCTTTCAGCTTGGAAGAGTTGATTGAGGGGGTTTTCGTTAGAACAGGGAAAGAGAGAATGCATTTTCCCCTTTGCATGCTTTCCCCCAGAAATTGTGTTGCAGTGATTTATCCCGTTCTTTCCCAGGTATCGCATCACTATAGGGAACAAGACCTGTGTGTTTGAAAAGGAGAACGATCCCTCCATTCTGCGCTCACCTTCTGCTGGGAAGCTTATCCAGTACGTGGTGGAGGATGGGGGCCACGTGTTTGCTGGCCAGTGCTTTGCAGAAATAGAGGTAAAAGAGTCTCAGAGAACTGACTTGGCTGCAGGTGCTGAGTGTGCCCAGGCAAAAGCTGGTGGTGGGGGGTGAGAAGTTGAATGCTTTGAAGCTGGGAACTGAGCACAAGGGATAAGTCACAGTATTTCCTTTCCAGATGTTGTCTTTAACTTGGGCTAGCACAGGAATCAGCAGAGACAGTTGATGGGGTAGGGAAGAAATTAAGAGCTTAACAGCTGAAATGGGAATGCTGATGACTGTATACCAAGTCATAAGCAAAAGTTCTCTCAGATAACCTTAACCTTAACCATGATTATCTTGCTGTGACACCAAGGTAGAGTGGTGTCTGTGTGTACTGTGTTTTCTAGCTGTGGTGAAGAAGGCTGTCTGTGTGTAGCCACTATTGAGCACTAACACAGACTCAGAAACAGTCATATGACAAGATGAAGTAGCAAATTGAGAGTTCCCTGATTACCTGTTCATTTATCAGGTTGATCGGATGAGTTAATCAGTGTCACTCCTCCCTTCTCCCTTGGAAGTTCCTTAACTCTTGGAGAAGAGGAGGATGAACAATGTCTGCATCACTGTGAGGAAAGCATGAGAGATTGTGTAGGAGTCAATGGCTCAAACAGATTTGAGGGAGGGGAGGGTGTGTGTTGACAGAGGGGCAATTAAACCCATTGAGGACAATGTGTAGGAGAAAAATACCAAGCAAGAGATCCACATATTTTATGTGAGTGCTTTTATGCTGCAACAGAGCCGTGGCTAAGAAGGAACCACCTACTCAATTCCTGTGTTCCCAGTTGTGGTGTGTAGTATACCAATGGTAAAACTAAACCATCTCCCCTCATACCCTGCCCTTCTGCACTGAAGGCAAAGAGCTTCCATGTTGATGTAAGGAAGAACCTCTGCGAAGAGCAGTCTGAGACCTATGACCTCTAGAAAGCAATCCTGGTTCTCTCTGCTAGGAGTGAATGTGTTGCTGTAGCTTTTGCAAGTGGCTCACTCACCTCTAGCCTTTAGAGCACAGTGAACTCTATTGCCACAGTAAATTGTATCTGCTTTTTTCATTGTGTTGAATATGGGACCTTCATGAGTACCTGCTGGTCTGGGCAGTGTGGAGCAGATGACATTCCTGCTGTGCTAGTTTGTGGCCAGTTATTCCATTCTACCATTCACTTTATTGTCTGGGGTTTCATTCCCAGTGTGTGTGTTTTTAAGCCTTTGTGAAAGTCTGAACCCAAAACTAGAACCACTGGGGGAACATGAGTGGGCAGCTGAGTGGGTGACGTGTTTCCCTTGCTACAGGTAATGAAAATGGTGATGACACTAACAGCAGGAGAATCAGGCTGCATCCATTATGTCAAACGCCCAGGAGCTGTCTTGGATCCAGGCTGTGTGATTGCCAAGCTCCAGCTGGATGATCCCAGCAGGGTTCAGCAGGTGAGAAGTTGCAGGAAGTGCAAATGTGTGTTGCGGTTTTAACAGGGGAGTGATGTTGAGAGTGGTACGAGATGGTCCTGTGGAAGGAACCAGTTTCAGATGTGAGCAGTGTACTGGAATTGCCGCTTTACCACTCATTTGTCTCAGATGAGGACTAGAACTCAGATCATTGTCTCCTTCTTTGATTCAGGGTAAAGTTACATACATTCCTGTTCCCTTCTTACCTCAGTAGTACCACTGGCCTGTTTTGTGTGGAGCTGTTGGAGATCCAGCTCGTAACCTTTCTGTCTCTCAACCAAGTGCGTTTTCCCCACGGGGGATTCTTCCACGTTCAGTCTAAGTCTCCAGTTGAGGGTAAACCGGATGCTACCACCATGGATGATGCCATGCAGGTGGCTTAGTGACAAACTGTGCTGTTCATTGTGTTCCCAGGCTGAACTGCACACAGGTACCTTGCCTCAGATCCAGAGCACAGCGCTTCGAGGTGAGAAACTCCATCGCATCTTCCATTATGTCCTGGATAACCTGGTCAATGTGATGAATGGATACTGCCTGCCAGAGCCCTACTTCAGCAGCAAGGTATCCATTGGTTCTTTATCAGTTAGATAGGTTAGGCTGGCCAGTTTGCATGTCAGGATTCAGGCAGTGCTACCCTGCTAGTGCCCCATCAATTCAGTTTTCTTTCTTAGACTTCCTCCCAGTCCATCTCACCAGAAAGTAAGATGGGAAATCCCACTGATGACACCCAAAACAACGACAAGGAGTTGAGCTTGATCTTTACTGCTTGTGACTGCAGCCTTGTACGTGGGAGCTACGTGTGTAGCCAGCTGTGGTAAAAGTCCTAGAGAGAGGAGGTAAGAAGGTGGATGAATCTGAGTCAGCTCTTGGTTTAAGGTAGCACAGCAGCTGTGTCATCTACCCCAGCTCTCAGTCCCTGGATTAGCTGTGTGATAAAACAGTATTGAAGAAGGCCTCAATAAAAAGCCTTTTCTCCCTTTTTGCTGCTTGTTCTTTTCTTCATGCTTGTCTTTACACCAAGTTGTCTCTCTCCAGGTGAAGGGCTGGGTTGAGCGACTAATGAAGACGCTGAGAGATCCATCTTTACCTCTGCTGGAGCTTCAGGACATCATGACCAGTGTTTCTGGACGGATTCCACCCAATGTAGAGAAGTCCATCAAGAAGGAGATGGCCCAATATGCCAGCAACATCACGTCAGTCCTTTGCCAGTTTCCCAGCCAACAGGTGATGAAACCACACTTCATAGGGGAACAAAAGTTGATTTACGCTGGGGCAAAGAGAGAGTGAGGGAAAGCTCCTTTAAATTATCTGGAGGTTAGTTGGACCTGAAGGATGCATTTCAACATGGGATTTTCATGATGAAATATATTTACCTGTATCACTTGAGCTTGCCTGCTTTGCCTGTACTGAAGGATGTGTGTTCCCTGCTCAGTGTACATTTAAACAGGCAGTTTGGCAGCAGTTTAATCCTATCAGTGGCCTTGTGGGCATTTACTTACTTGCTTTTTGCCTGGTGCATGTGCTGCAGTGCAATATGTAGTGTCGGCCTCAAAAAAGAGTGATTGCAGCCAAGGGAGGCCTGGTCACGTAATGAGGTGTTGGAAGATGATTTCCCCAGTATATGGTACTGTGCATTGATTTCTGTATCATTGTCAGGTCATTATCTTCCTTAGCACTTCATAAGGCTTTGGCCTTTGCTGGGGTGTGCTGGAGCTCTGGTCTGTTTGGAAGAGCTCAGTTGCCAGATTGTCCCACCAGGACGGGGACTCTGATGTGTTTGCTCTCTTTCAGATTGCCAATATCCTGGATAGCCACGCAGCCACCCTGAACCGCAAATCGGAGCGTGAGGTCTTCTTCATGAACACTCAGAGCATTGTGCAGCTGGTACAGAGGTGAGCCGTTTTCCAGGCTGCTCCCTAACTGCTGGGTGGTTGGTTGGGGTGTTCTGCTGCTGCTTGAAAGACTTGAACCTGCTCATCTGTATTCAAATGGTTTTATTACACTCAGAGTCTAAATCACGAGGAATAAGCCTGCACACTTCCCTCAGGGCGTGTGTGGCTCACAGACACATCCTTCCATTTCCCTTTTCCATATGGAAGATTTAACTTCTGTCCTAACACTGATCATGTCTTGGCCATTTCACTAAGCTGCTGGTGTGTGTTACGCCTTCCAATGTCTGGAGTTTTGAGTATCTGTAGAAGAAAAAGGATACATGAGCCTTGCTTCCCATAATATTAATGGCAGGAATTATGGATTCACATAACAATTGCAGTTTTCAGGTGTGCTTCTTTCTGTAAGCAAACAGGTTTGTTCTGCCACTCCTGGTGAGTGTTGTTCACTTGCGGGTCTTCAGAAGCCGTGCTTGGCCAGTCTCACTCAGTGCTAGGTTTCACTTACTTGCTTCTGCAGGTACCGGAGTGGCATTCGAGGTCACATGAAAGCAGTGGTGATGGATCTGCTGCGTCAGTATCTGAAGGTGGAGACTCAGTTTCAGCATGGTGAGTCTCTAAGAATGTCAAGGGTTTGACTTCTGAAAGAACCACACTTGATCCCAGAAGGTCCACATGGACCCCCCTCAATAAAGACTACTCTAACTTTCTGGTCAGGGTTCCATATGTAGAAGCTTCATATTAGAAGCTTGATTTCCTGATTCCTGAGCATCTGCAGCAAAACTAGAGTTGGAAAAACTGTTTAAATTCACCACTCTGTTTAGGTCTCTCTTGCCTGTTTATTAAATTCTATGGGAATAAAATCAAGTGCAGTAAAAGAACCCCCAAAAGATCACTGAGCTGTCTGCACCCGCAGTAGAACACCAGGAAGCTGCTTTTCCCAAGAACAAACCTCAGCCTGAAACACAGTCGAGTTAAATGCACTGCACTGCTGCATGCAGGCACAAGGGGGCAGTGGAGCACTAGGTGATTTTGAGGCCCCAGCTCTTACAGGTAGTTCAGATTCCACTCTTCTTTTGTCCTGCTCCATTACCTGCACCATCCTAATGGTACTGCAGCTTCATTTCCACTTCAATTTGCTGGTAGTAGAGGATGGTGCAGGTCTTTTTGCTGTTATTTTATTTTGGTTGTCACTGAAATGAAAGACTGAGCTCACCTTTCCTCCCTTTAGAATTGCTCACAAAGGAGGTATTTGGTGTTGGAACTGTTTTAACAAGAGTTAGGATGTTTAAATTACAGTTTGCAGCTGAGGGCTGGTGCAGGAAATGCTTTATTCTCAGAGCTGGGTGGACCATGCAAAGCAGATTCTCAACACATGTATGGAGAAAAATAAAGACCCATCTTGTGTATTCCTTAACAGAGGGGTGTGGAGACTGGGAAAAATGTGCCTTTCTGATTGCAGGTCACTATGACAAGTGTGTCTTTACGCTTCGGGAAGAGAATAAAAGTGATATGAATGCTGTGTTGAACTACATCTTCTCACATGCTCAGGTCACCAAGAAGAACCTGCTTGTTACAATGCTCATTGTAAGTTGTCTGTTGGTGCTCTAGAAATTTGCTGCTTCTTGTAGTTGTGTGGTTGATGCTTTGAAAGGTATTGAATTGACAGCTCTGTTCCTCAGGGGTGGAACCTTCTGACTACAGAAGCAGTGGCAGCAGAGAAGGGTTTCTTCATATGTTCTTGAGGCATGTAAGCCGTGTGTCAGAAGAGACCAAGGACACACTGTCCTGCTCGGTCTCTGTGCACCTTCTGGTTCATGAATGTCCTGCAATGGTTGCCTATGAGAGGCAAGTGATTTGTGAGCATCTGTGAGGAGATAAGGATGCAGACTTCACTCTTACACTGGGAGGATGCTAGAGGGCTGTGACTTGGTTTAGTTTGCTTCTTCGTCTCCAGAGGTCTCAGAGAGGTCTTGTCTTTATATAGCTCATGGTGCTCAAACTGGGAGTTGCTTGGAAAGCAAAGCAGTATGCTGCCAGCACGAAAAGCAGGTGTTGCAATAGCAACATTTGTATGGTCCTTCTTTAGTAATGAGGGTGATATCCTGGTAGGGAATAGCATGAGCCAGCCCATATGGAGGCCCCTGAGGAGTTTCACATGCTCTGCCTTGATGAGCTGTAGTTTAGTCTTACAGCTTTGATGGTGACTCTCTTGGCTGCTTCCTGGTTATGGTCTCAGTCTGGTCTCAGGCCTGCAGTGGTGCTTTTGGACCAGTGTACTCTGGTCTGCATAGTGGAATCTGACTCACTACCTCATCACAAAGCTGGTCTCTTCTCATCAGGCCTCTGACCCTCGGTATGGTGTCCAGGGGGCTTGTGAAAGGATGGGGAATGTCCTGGGGTCGGAATTCCTCTTGGACAGACATAGATTCCACCCTAGAAACACAAATGAACCCTCATGCCAGCACCCGCCATCACCTTCGCTGCTTCTTCTGGCTTGTTACTCCATGAAAACTCTCAGTTTCATCTACTTCAGTCCCACTAATGGGTAAAACTCCCAGTAAATGACATTCCCAGGAAAAATAATTAAAACCCACTTGAGTCCTGTCTCCTTTATTTCATATTTCATAAAAAGCCTCAAGAACTCCTTGTCCCACAAAACGCTTTGAAGCAGGATGAATGCCCCCTTCCTCAAGGCAGGCTGAATTTAGCTATGACAGACTGCAGCTAGGTATCGTGCTTTGTAAGAGGCTCATTTCAATACTATCTCCCTCTTCTCCACGCTCCTTTTCTAATTCATTTTACAAGCACAATGTGGGCTGGTACTGCCAAAAATCTGTTCAGAGTAACCATGCCCAAAATAGCTCTCCAAAGCAGAAACAGTCATCATTGTGCTAGGCTGAGGCTGGGTTTCTTCAATTCCCATCGGTGAGGTAGAAGGACCGGTTCTTTCTTTCTTTCTGCCTCTCCTTTCCCCCTCCTTGTTTTTGTCCTCCTCTTTTCCTTTCTTTCCCTTTCTGCTGTGCCGTGTGATTGTAAGTAACACTTGCCTTAAGAATCTCATTATTTGAACACGGAGCCATATTTCCTCTGAGAATTCTGGAGTAGCTTTGAGCAGGGGCTGTTCATTTCTCAAGTAATCATGCTGGCGTGATGGAGAGAGAAAATGGCAGCTGTTCACAGCTCAGGCCTTCAATTTGCTTCAGAGTCCAGTCACTCAAGTGTGTAATTACACAGGGGTGCCGGGGAGGCGTTAGGCCTTGTCAAAGAGCTGGTTTGAGGCTTTGCTGCTGCCTTTGCCAATCAGTGCAGGCAGAGCCAGCGCGGTGCCAGTTTCCCCACTTCAGTTTGCTCTTGGCATCCTGATGATTTCTCCCTAAAACAGGACTGAAACTCTGCTGTGTCTGGTTCTTCACCTCCGGGCGTGCGCGTCGTGGGGGCAGAGCTGTGCTGTGTCTTCGTGTTGGTGTGTGCTGGGAGACAGGGAATGCAGAGGAACGTCAAAGCCTTTTTCTTTGCCTTCCTCTGCAGCCATTCTGCCAGCCACTGTCAGTTACTTCCCAGTTCCTGGCCTAGGATTTGTTACTAGGCAGAAGCTCTTCCCTGTGAGGGTGCTGAGGCGCTGGCACAGGGTGCCCAGAGAAGCTGTGGCTGCCCCATCCCTGGCAGTGCTCAAGGCCAGGTTGGGCACAGGGGCTTGGAGCAAGCTCCTCCAGTGGAAGGGGTTGGGACTGGATGAGCTTTAAGGTCCCTTCCAACCCAAATCATTCTGTGATGATTTTATGATTTCTACTCAAGTAAAGGTTGACATCCCAGTCTGCAAGAGCTTAAAACACACTGGAGGGATCCCCTGACACTTTTGGTGGGCTGTGGCCTTTTGCTGCCAAGTTATTTCTGTGGGGTGGTTTAAGTTTGTCCTCCAATGGCAAATGTCATGTCAAAATACCTTCATGCTTATCCTGTTACTGAGTTATCCCTGGGAATCCATTAGGAGCAGGGGGCTCTGAGGATGGTTTAGCAGTAGTGTTGTTATGCCATCCTTCACCTTTTTTAGCTAGCACATTTAAAGCAGGATGGGAACTACTTCATCCTTCCTGTGTGTGTTGAAATGTTTGCTGGTCCAAGGTTGGTTAGTAGCGGACAATGATCTAGTAAGAGATAGTAGCTGTTTACCTTTGCAATCACATGTATCATGAGCTGTAATTTGTCAGTCAGTCTATGGGACTTGTATTACTTGTCTTTTGGGTTTTTAGTTTGTTTTCCCTGGCAGGCTTATCAGTGTAACCTGCTGCACAGAGGTTTCCCTTTTCCCCTTTCTGTTTCTTGGACCTTCAAAGGGTCTTTTCTGGATTCTGTGTGTTCAACATCTCTTAAAGACACCAGCACTCTTTCCTGTTGCAAATCCCAGTTTCATCTCTCATTGCTCTCCTGTGGTTCATTTGCCAAGAGAAAAGCTGTTAAGTGCTGGATAGAAGAAACACATTAGAGGCTCCTAGAAGGCTTCCAGCTTCGGGAGTGAGAGGAAGAGGCTCCCAGGCCACTGAGCCACAGTTGAGTCAAAGACTGTGGGATTATTCATGGAAACTGAATCATGGTTTTACTTAGCTTTGTGTAGGCTTGTTAGAGGAATGACAGGATCTTCCCTTTCTGGTATTGCTGAAGCTGTATCAAGTGTGTGGTTGGGGAGTTGCAGGGTTTTGGGGGGTTTTGAGGTGGTTTTGAAGTGGGCTTCAGGAGGTTCTCCTGCCAGATAAAACGCCTTCTGTTTGGTCACCTTTCATGGTGAAGCTTTGTTAATCCTTGCGTACAACAAAAGGCATTTCACTACGATTGAATGCTCTTTGGGTTTTGCATTGCTGCTAGAGGGGAGTTCTGATGCAAAACTGAAATTGGGTAATGGAAAAACATTTACAATGAGGGCGGTGAAACACTGGAACAGGTCACACGGAAGCCTTCAGGGTCAGGTTGGATGTGAATTTGAGCAACTTGATCTAGTTGAAGATGTCCTGCTCATTGCATGACATGTAGGACTAGATGACTGGAATTGATTGCCTAAAGAATCACAGAATCCCAAGGGTTGGAAGGGACCTCAAAAGATCATCTAGTCCAACCCCCCTGCAAGAGCAGGGTAACCTAGAGTACATCACACAGGAACCAGTCTCTCTGACAAGTCAGTATTTCTCATGTGTTTGCATGCCACAGCACATGCTGCAAATAAGAAAATGGGTGACAGTGCCAGTCCCTTCTTTCCTCTGTAGCTTTATTTATGTGTGTAAAAGTATTGAGAGCCCAATACCTGTACCCTTGTCAGCACAGCATTACAGAGTGATTGAGGTGGGGGCCTGCAGAGGTCCAGCACGTGCGTGTGTAATTCAGGTTTCAGCTCTGCAGGAGGACGGGAGATGGTTTTCCTCTGTTCTAAGCGTTTTCAGTTCTCTTGATGTTTAGGACCAGCTCTGTGGCCGTGACCCCACCTTGACAGATGAGCTGATTAATATTCTGACAGAGCTGACCCAGCTCAGCAAGACGACCAACGCCAAAGTGGCCCTGCGAGCGCGGCAGGTAAGGGAGCGTGTTCAGAATCCAGGCTGATCCCTGCGAGAGCCAGCCTGTGCCGTTGATCAATAGGGACTGCTCCCGCTCGGAGCTCTCTCTTTTGGAAAGTCTATATCTCTTGATGTTTAGTTTGATTACTGTGTAAATGTGATGAGTAGATTACTGTGAGCAGCTTTAACAGGGAAATGAATTAACTGATGGTGAATCATTGTGACAGGCTAACAAAGATTGGAGTGGATTCCCAACCACTGTAATACTTGAAGTGCAGATTACATTCCTTTTGTTCCTCCTCATCCAAAAGGTTTTATCTGGCTCAAGTAGGAGTTAGTTGAGAGTCACCTATGGTTTGTGTGACAGAGGAAGTCCAAATATGTGGTTGCTGTGGTTCCTTCTGCCTATATAATCTGTGAACCTGACTAGCTCAGGCTGCCTGGAATGTGGAGGCAGATGTGCAGTGAACAGCCAGGACACGAATCTGGGTTCATCAGCAGCGTTACAACTGTGAATTGGTGTGCACAGAACACAGAGAGAAATCTGCACAAGAGCTACGTGTTCCTTGCAACCACTACGGAATTATTGCAAGGAATTATGTTGGTCTTTTGCAGGTTTCTTTTGGCTTTGAATTGTGTTTTGTCAATCTCTTTTAATCTGAAAATAATTGGGAGAACTCTTGGTATTGGCAGTTCCAACATTCTAGTACAGATAATAATCTGAATGACAAATATCTACTTGGATATTATTGTGAGCTTCCTCTTTAGCAGTTGGTCTGTAGGCAGGAAGGAGTGAGAGGGCACATTCATTTCATGGTAATGCCAGCCCTGTAGCCTGATCACTTCTCTCACTCCACAATCCCTATCTCCATTCTGAAAGCAGGGAAGCTGACACTTTGAGGATCACTCCTTTTATTTCAGAGCTTGACTATTGAAAACGAACGGGGCATTTGAAGCTGCTCAGTGACCTTATGTTTCCTTCAGGATTGTGTTTGTGTCCTTGAACCATTCAGTTATTGAACCTCTCAGCAGCATGCTGGGGATGGTGCTGCTGTCCTTGTCTATGTCTTTATGTTGCTCTTTCACTTCATTTTCCCCTGCAAGCTGCTTCCCCTTCCTATCTCTGCCTCCTTCATGTTGGGCATTTAATACCTGGCACCAGTGTGTGCTGGTGCCTGTGCAGAGGCAGGCTCTGGTGCTGCTCCCCGCAGCTGCTGCCTGCCAGCTCTGCTTTCCAATTAACAGCCGGTCAGGCAATCCCCAGGACTGCAGCTCTGCAGTGCTAAATCACATGCACTGATGGAACTTGATTGAAGCTGTTCCTTTGCTCCATGGGGAATTGCCAATAATACAAACGGAGCAGATACACAAATGAGGCTGGGGAGGGGAGAGAGTTTTGCAGCATCACCCAGGTGCCACCGAATTCACAGGAGAAACCAGCCGCCTCTGCTGGGATGGAGCAGGCTGGTGCTGCTCTGGAGGTAACAGCTGATGGCTCAGCATCCACTGACATCCCCTGTGTGTGCTCTTCACCAGGTTCTCATTGCTTCCCACTTGCCCTCCTACGAGCTGCGTCACAACCAGGTGGAGTCCATCTTCCTGTCTGCTATTGACATGTACGGACACCAGTTCTGCATTGAGAACCTGCAGGTATCTACCAAATTTCTCTCCTTGTTTCCCTGCTTTCTCCTCTCTGATCTCCATGTTTTGTATTAAATCTCACCTGTGGTACCAAGGTCCTTGTGGCTTTAAATTGTATTGTTCTGGTTTGTAGCTTCCCTCTCATATTTGTTTTCATCCCTATGCTGATATCAGAATGATCTCATCACAGTCTACAGCCTCCTCGAGGAGGGCACCAGAGGGAGATGTGCTGGTCTCTTTCTGGGGAGCAGCAGTAGGACACAAGGAAATGGGATGAATCTGCATCAGGGGAAGTTCAGATTGGACATGGGGGAAAGATTCTTCACTGAGAGGGTGGTTGCTCCCTGGAACAGGCTCCCCAGGGAAGCACTTGTGGTGCCAGGCCTGTCGGAGATCAGTGGCCAGATGATGCTCTTAGTCATACAGGTTTAGTTTTAGGTAGTAGGAGCAGGGAGTTGGATTCGATCCTTCTGGGTCCCTTCCAACTTGAGATATTCCATGATTTAATATAAAAAGGTCACAATCCTTGATGTGCAACAGGAAGAGCACAGAAATGAGAACTAGTCAGGCTTCATTTGGGGTGCGTTTGCTTTTTCTGCCTGACCCGTTTGCGAGACAGGCGGTTCCCTCTTACAGCCCATGCCTAATGTGATCTCTTCTAGAAACTCATTTTGTCCGAGACATCCATCTTTGATGTGCTTCCCAACTTCTTCTACCACAGTAACCAGGTGGTAAGGATGGCAGCTTTGGAGGTAAGCCTGTTGCCATTGACAAAACCAAACGTCATGAATTTTTCTTAGTTTTCTGTTATGGGGTTTTTTTGAGCACAGGATTAGAAGAGCTGCCTTTTGCATGGAATTTGGCATTTAGCAACATTGATATTAATAACTTGAATCTGGAACTTCATTCACTTATCTTCTTTGCTTAAAGAATCAGATGGTTGAAAGGGTTGAAAATGAAGCTGCTGTCAGAGAATGTGGTCAGCCTCTACCCTGTTGTTGGTTGCATCCTGCCAGACCAGCCTTCCTCAAAAGATCACTTCAAATTCTAGTGGATTAGAGTTCTATTGAGATATTTGGGGGGGATATCTGCTTCGGTTTTACTATTTTTTAAGTCTTTGGTGTATTATTTGTCTCTTTGTCTCTCTCTGCTTCCTTACCCCAGGTAAACTGATGGTGTTTCTCTCTAACTAGGTGTACGTTCGAAGGGCGTATATTGCCTATGAGTTAAACAGTGTCCAGCACCGCCAGCTGAAGGACAACACTTGTGTGGTGGAGTTCCAGTTCATGCTGCCCACCTCCCACCCAAACAGGTCAGATCACGTCTGCAGGTGCCTTTGGAGCGGGAGGTTTAGGGGGGGGCACATCTGATCTTAGCAAAGGAAGCTTGCAACAAAATTGGTGGAGAAAGGGAGAGTCCCAGTGCCTCAGATAAGCACAGACTACTTAAGATAAACCCCTGCATTACCCAGTGCCTTCTCCTGAGCTATTTCAAACCTCAGGAGCTGTGGGGGGTAGGTTCTGCAGTTTGGATTCATTTACATACAATAGTTCTCATGTATTTTCTGATGAAGTTCAGCTTCTGTAGGCAGTTTCCTCTAAAAGGTCAGTTCTAGCTGAATCCTGAGCCTTCCAAAAGGTACAATTCCAGGCAGAATAATCAGTTACTTGGAATTGCAAGAAAGAACAGTCAAACATCCTCTGTCCCTTCTGCAGCACTCCCCTGCCAGCCCTTTGTATCTGTTTGGGATTGGCTCTCCTTTCAAACCTGGCTTTACTGGATAAGGTGAAACCTTTTCTAGCATGTGTTTTTCTTCTTTTGGAGCCCAAGATGCATGTGTGAATGGGTTGAAATGGAAGCGCTGGAGCTGACATACTGTGGCTTTCAGCCAGTGTTTATCAGATGTATTTCTTACGTCTGCAACCAAAAGCATCAACTGTTGGCTGCTCCATCTTACAGAAGCAGGGTCGCATCTCCTACTGTGTGCTAAGATCATTTTAAAACCGCACCAAGCACAAAACCCCAAAGCCCTTGGTTATCAGAACCCCTTCAGCACCGCCAGCTGAGTCAGTTCCCGTGTTCTTTCACTTGCAGCAGGAGCTCAGGGGGTGTTTTAGCCGCTGTTCTCTTCCTGGCGCAGTGAACCTCGGTGGCCGCCGGGTGCCACTGTTGCTCTGTGCTGGTTTGGCTGGAGGGCACCGGCTCTATTTTTCTCCTTTGTTTCCAAACATCTTTTTCCTCCTTTTATTTTTGGTGGGGCTGGGCAATGGGGCCCAGTCTCGCTTCATTGAGAACCCATCAGTACATTTTATGAGATGGTTTTCAGAATCTGGTTTGCTAGAAATGAATGACTGTCCTCAACAAGCAGCGCAAACCGCTCCCGGTACAAATGGGACATGCATTTGGTCTCATCTGGTTCCTACATTTCTAGAATAGTTGTAAATAATTGCATACTATTTTTAGTATCCCGTTATAATGCTCCCCCTCCACTTCTTTCTCCATTTCTTCCCTCCACTGGTCTCAGTTACCACTGTTGCTTGGGGGTTATCTGGCCTGCCCGTGCTGCCCACGGCTCTATTACTGCACACAAGCTTAATTGGACAAGGTCAGCTGGAAGAGGAGAACTGTTTCCTGCTTGGGGAACTGCTGCTTTGTCCTGAAATCTCTCCCCCTTTATGCTGGATTCGCTGGGGCAATGTTCTGTGGCTCAGTTCTGCTTCTCAACCATCAGCACTGCTGATGGCTGACTGAAGGCGCATTGCGGTCCTTGTGCAGAGGCCAGCAGGCTTGGGGACAAAGCCACTGCTTGCACAGGCAAGCCCTTAGAGTTCAGTCCCTTGGAGTTGCACCTCAGTCTGTTAGCAATGAATTTGGCTCCTATTGCTTGATGCAGCTTCTTGCAGTGTGCAGCTATCGTGTGCCCTGGTGCTGCAGCACAGCCCAGAGCAGGACACCTGGGGCTTAAGTTAGCTCTGAGTGTGGAGGTTTAAGCTGGGTATAAAGGCGAACCTTGTGCTAAGCCCAAGATACAGAAATCTCAAAACTGATACTGTCTTGCTGAAGTCTTCTTTGTTGTTTTTGACCATGGTCTACGTCCATCGTTTGTTTTTCTGTATCTTGTGTAGCACCAGCTTTTAGACTGAAAAGCTAAAAATGCATTCTAAGGGAAATCCCAAAAGGCAAAGTATCCCAGCTGACCAAGCAAAAGGTCCCTTGAGGCTTTGAGGTTGGGTCCTGGTCAGCCAGAGAACATTCCTTATTGGAGCTGGTGTTCCTAAGCTCCATCACATTAGTATGGTGCCACATGGTTTTCAGCACTTTATCAGGTATTTTTAAGCCTTGATCCCTTTTGTGTCTTGATTTCTGTGAACATTCAAGGGCCCAAATGTTACTGGAGCAAATATTCATGTACAGAAAACTGCAAACTGGTAGTGGTTACTATATTTAAATTCTTTGGTATTTAACCCAGCTATGTCTTTACTTAATTGTAGCAGCAACAGTCACAGTCACTACTTCTGATCTGACTACTCACAGCCAGCCACTCAGGCTTTGTATTTCTGGCCACTGAACAATTGCCATCAACTACCCACAGGAAAGCTTTAGAGAGGAAAGAAAAACTATTAAATCTGCTAACAAAGTCATAGAAATTCAACCTGCTCCTGGTGGGTTTTGTGGGCAGAAACTGTTTTGCGTATGATTTGTTTAAATTAATAGAAAACATCCCGTTGTAAGAATCCCCACTGATCCCAATTGCAAGGGTAAGACATAGGGAGAAAAACTGCTTATAATTGAAACCATAGAGGGCTTTCCAGCTCAAAGCCAGCATCCTTATTGCCCTGTGCAAGGCAGATGAGGAGCACAGGGTAACCATCTGGTGCCTTTTGCAGTAAATGGAGTTTGCCAGCCCTCTCCAAGTAGAGGGCGTTGCAGTGATCCCATCTGGAGGAGGCGAGACGAGAGTGTCCACGGGATGCTGATGGCTGCATGCTGCAGCAGGGTACTGCAGACAAACGCTGATGTGCAGAGCCCCTTGCATTTGGATAACCTGCCTCTTTCAGTCATCTAGAGTCCTGGGGAGAAAAGATGGGAGAAAGAAATGAGCCCTGTTCTGAGCTGTTCTTTGCTTCCCTCTTGTTCAGACTGCCCTGCTGAGATGGGAAGCTGGTGGAATATTGACTGGTGTTTAGAGAGTTCGGCTTCCTTTGTGAGAATGGCAGGCCAGGTGACAAGACACTGAAAGGCCTTTCTTAGGTGTTCAGTGCATGAAACAGTGCTTGCCCAATCTTAGCTTAAAATCTGTTCAAAGAAACATTGTGTGTCTAGGAGAGGGAATTATAGTGCTTTTTCAACAGGAGAAGGGGTTTTTCTAATAATCCCCCTCTCTTCTCCTGCTTTTGGACAGCCTTTCTTCTGTCTGAACCTGTAAGGTTTAAATTAAACTGGGACATTGTCTGCTGTAGCCAGCTTTTGGAGCCTGCTGCAGAATGGTGCTGCTGCCCTGCTCTTCCCGAAGCATCCCCTGTCTCCAGCTCATCGTGTTCCCCAGCCAGGGTGTTCAGCTGTTCTCTTGCTCTCTCCTTCCCCAGCAGCAGATGTGCTGGAGGATCAGAAGGGAAGAACTCAGAAGTAGCTGTGTTCCCTCTATCAGATGCCAAGACAATTGCTGGCAAGGGGACCTAGAGGTGCTGGGTGTACCTCTGCTTTGGGGTGTGGCAATGATGCCTTCAGAATACACTGAGCCCCAGAGGAAAGCTAAGTGTAACCCAGCCTGGTTTGCTCCCTCTGATGCAGTGGCCATGCCTTCCCAATCCATCCATGTGCTGAGCCCATGCCTTCCTTTTGTCCCACATGCCACCTCTGTCTGCCACACTTGGCCTTGACACGTCCTGGGGAATCCCTGAGTCAGGAGGTGCCATTGGAAGGTGGAAGTGAAGGAAGGTTTCCACAATGCAGGTTAAGACTTCAGGTGTTGATAACTGGCTTAGCTTTACCTTTGAAACTTGGTAACAGGCTGTCTGATGCCAGCTCACCCTCGTTGTATTTAGAGTTGGGAATGCACACAACTTGGCAAACATGGACATACAGGCAAATGGCTTACTGCAACTTGCCTAGGCTGAATCCATTCCTGGGACTGCATCCTGCTCTCCGTGATGCTTCCAAGGGTGGAACTCAAGTTTAGTCTTCAGTTTCTTTGCACTTCCAAAGTTAACAGTATCAGTGTCTCAACTATCTTGTGCTTGGCTTTGCCCAGTATCTCCTCTTCCTGTGCTTGTGGATGTTTGTTGATGCCCTACTTGGACTTTGATGTTGCTGATTTCGAGGCTTAAGAGTGGTGCATGACCTCTCCTTTGCTGTCTCTTGATGTTTTATCATCTATGGAGTATTTTGGTTGTTCTTTTTTGTCAGCCTCTTCCTTAGCTTATAGGCAGAAACCCATTTTGAAGGCTGAAAGCCAAGTTAATTATTGCTGTTTCCAAACAGAGCTTCTACAGAAGAATAAGAAAACGACACTTAGAGCAGGTTTATAGGTTCCCTCCTACTCCCATTTAACTATGATGTACTCCTAAGATTTGAATTTCTGACAAAACAGGAGTGTTTTCTGGGGACTAAAGGAGTTGTGAAACCAGCCTCCTGCATCAGGCCTTGGGATGCTGGTACTGAAGCAGCCGTGGCCGCACTGCAGACCCGGCTGTACCACTCCAGTGTATCATTAGGTAGCCTGAGGTCCCCTCCTTGTTGGGAAAGAGCGGCTGCTCTCGGGAGGGAGGGGGAAACACTTCCAGGACCCCCCTAAATCCCTGCAGCTCCGTGCTGAGGGTTGGATGTTAATTAGCCAGCAGGCAGCAGTGATGTGTTGCCGTTCCCTTGGCTTTGCCTGTTTCCAGAAGGGCAGGATCTTCCAGCAGAGCAAAGAAGGGGCTGTTGAAGGGGCAGCAAACTGAATGGAACGGCGATAATTTCATGCAAATTGGACTTGAGCAGCAGCTTCAGCTTGGCTGAATCACAGAGGGAGCAGAAGAATGAGGGAAGGAAAGAGGGAGAGGAAAAAAAACCCCAGCAAAATGTATGGTTTGAGGCATGTTTCACAGCCTTCTGTTTAGATCCTTCGACAGAAATGAAGAAACAGAAGAGGAATGCCACTGGTCAGAGCCAGTGGAATTGCTCTTTCTCCTGTGCTACTGCTGTTAATAACTACAAGTGGGTTATTCAGCCGACCTCTGCTGATTCCGCTTTGCTGCCTCATTTCAAAAGCTTTGCCCGGCGCTGGCACTGGCTCTCACAGCTTGCTCTCACCAGCAGTGCTTTGCATGCCTTGCCATCATTCCATAGGGGAGTGCTCCTGCTGGAGAAGAAATAAATAAAGGGAAGAAAGGGAGGGACAAGGGGAAACAAATCCTGATTCATCCCGGGGGTGCATGGGGAGCCAAGGGGATTTTGGCTTGCTTGAGCAGGAGGAGGGATTGTAAGAGAAGAAGCAGATTCCTGGTGAGATCAGCTTCCCTGGTCAAGAAGGGAGTTCAAATGAGACAGGGAGAAGGGCCGGGGCTGGTGTGGTGGGAAGGTTCCTGCTCCTGTGACCAGCTACATGGAGCTGGCTGTGGAGGATGGCGCCTTTACCCAGCTCCCAGCCCCTTGGTGCTGCCCAGGGCTGAGCAGCCTGGCTGATAGCTGGTGCTTTATGTTGAGGTGCAGGGGTGTAGTAGCTCAGTGAACCGCAGTGCCCTTTCACAAGGCCTGCTTGCACTGCAGATACCAGACCTCTGCCTCTTAGCATGCGTCAGGGACAAGTGACAGTGCAGCTCCTGTTACAAGAAGCCCTCTGCAGATACCATGACTTGTAGATAGAGAGCCAGCCCCACAGTGTGCAGCTTGGAGACTCCTCCATTCCATTCTGACATCCCCAGCCACTGGGTCTTCTGTTTTCCTCATTGCAATTCCTGCCATAGTCTCTTCAGCTCCGTACTGAGAGGCTGGAGATCCTGGAGCAGGGCAACAGGGAGCCCTTTCTGAGATGGAAAGGAACATTTGTTATGCTGGGGCTCTTTTCCTGTCTGTTTCTGAAAGCATCCCAGGGAGCACTGCACAAGTGTACCCAGTGTAGGAACTGCCAGGCCTCTCCAGACTGGTTTTCCCACCTGAAATAGATCACATGCAGCTTTCCCACTATTTGCCAAGCTAAACAATAGTCCAGAAGAAAGTCTCACACCCCCACCCCAAGGCCCCATGGCCCCTTTGGTCCTAACCACAGGCTCAGTGTCCCTCCCCACTGCCTCCAAACAACATTAAATACTATTTACCATTGAACAGATAGGTCTTTAGGTCATTTTGTGCTTTCTCCTGTATGGCTTAAGGGGATCACAGGAACTTTTCATGCCTCTACCAGTAATGTACCAAACACACAACCTTGCAGTGACAAAACCAGCTTGAGTTTAAAACAGGGGTGTTTAGCAGCATTAACCTGGGAACACCCTGTCATTGAATACTGAAACTTCATGGCCACGAACTTGGGGTCTTGCCTATGGACAAGGATGTTAAGGAAGTCTGTGGTTTGATCTCCTACAGTTTTCTATAGGGAAGGGGAGGGTGAATGTCCAGTTACATGCTCCCTGAAGCTTCGCTTTCCATCTGGTTGTGTTTGCTGATCTCTTTGTGCAAGCATCCTTATGCATGGTTTTGTTTCAGCTTAGTCTTCACTGTTTTGAACGTCAGATCGCGGCTGTTTTTACATCTTGCATGGAGCAGTATGCAGCCCTGTGCTTTCATGAATGTAGCATGAGCAGTTCTTCACACACGCTGGTGTGAAGATGTGCCCCTCAACTCTCTTCTGCCTCACGTGCATCGCTAAGCCCTGGTCTGCATGCAGATAAGGGAAGAGGTGGACTGACATGAAATGTTCTTATAAATAGCCTTAAGTTCTGCTTGTTGTTCTGGGTATTCAAGGCCTTGAAATGCTGAAAATGCCACGTGTTAAATGGTGTTCGTGCATGTGTTTGCTTTGTTACTGCCTTGTTGTGGGAGCCAGTGTGCATGGCTGCTTAATAGAGAGGTTTGGCAACGAGGATTTGCCTTGTTTTCCTGAACCTGCTGCAATCTTCCTGTGCGATATGGTCACTTTTAGCATCTGTGCTGTTTGCCCTTCCATCAGGGAGTGTAAACTCCCTGCTCTGGTCTTGCTTGTGTGCATGCAAAGAGCTTGAGGTGGGTCTGATGCTGTAGAAATGCTGGTACCTTGCAAACACGGCATGGTTTCCTGGGGTATGTTACCTGCATGTGTGCTCCTTCCCACGGCAGCCCTGCAGGCGAGGTCAGGTGGTGGGTGCCTTCTCATGGTCCAGGAAGTTGAATCCTGCCCCGTTCCTGATGGTTGGCAAATTTGGGGTTAGTAAAACTGTAAACTTGTTGCTGGTCTGTGGATCAGCTTGATGCTAGTTCTTGATGATGGCTGTCACTAACCAATCGGTAACTAACTGTGGTTGTTTGATTACAGAGGGAACATCCCCACGCTAAACAGGTATGGTACTTGTCATCTTTTAACATTTGAAAAGACAGACTAGAAAGAAGTAGCCTAACACTTAATGTTTTAACTTGTTTTGTTTTAGTGCCCTTACCTTTACTTGGGAAGCTTTCAAACATGACTCTTCTTTTTCCTTCCCTTTTGCTCTCCCTTTGTCTAAAACATGTTTTCAGCTTTTCTCTCCCCTTTAAAAACACCTTTGCATGCAGCAACCTTTGTCACTAAATTTGCCAGGGCACTCGGCTCATCTGCAGTATGGTACACAGCAAACTGCCAGCAGGATGCTGCTTGTAGGGTCTGGCTTTTGGGACTGGATTCCAGCTGTTGCCCCTCTGGTAGGGTGTCACAGGGAACCAGGCAGTCACTCCTTCCTGATAACATACCTATTGCTACCCTAGTTTCTGATAACTAGCTTCGAGGCTGTTCCACTTCCTTCCCACCATAGATGAATCTACATCCCAAACAGCTGACAGCATGTTTTGTTGTGTTTCGGACACTAATTTTTCCTCCTGTGTCTCAGTTGAAAAGTATTTCTTGTTTTAAATAATACATGAGAAATGTCTGCTGTCTCTTTGTTTAGTTACTGTTCTGTGGTAGTTTTTTGTATTGGTTGTAAGAAATGTACACCAAGGCATGTCCTGAAAAATATTTCTCTTTCCAAACATGAATACCTATTATTTATTGCTGCTTACAAGCCTATTTAGGGAAAAATAGTAAAAACAGGTTTGGAAGTCTCATGGCTCTTAATCAGAAATAAATTACGGGAGTGTAGAGTGACTTTAAGCATGGAGAGCTATTAATCAAACTGCTGATGTTTTAGACTCTTTAACAATGTGCTTAGGACCAGATCACAGTGGTTTTCTGTGTGTGGAGAGGAAGAAGTCTTAGTAAAGCTGGTAAGTAGCAGCATCAGCAGCCTCCAGTCCTCATCCCATTCTGCCTCCTGTTGTGGCACCAGTTGGGGAGGACAGAAGCTGAGCTCCATTAGTGCCTTCCTAAGCTCTGGGGAGAGCAAAGCGAGCACGAGTGTGCTGTTCTGTGCTGCAGAGCCCTGCCTTGTGCCAGTTCTGTGTTCCTCTCTCTTCAGAGCAGGTTTGAGGGTCTCACCGTGTTGCAGGGAGCTTTGGAAGTGGGTTCCTCAGTGGATGAAGATGACTCTGTAGTCATGTTCAGAAATGAGAAACAGTTATTAAAGTGAACCAAAGCCCAGTTCTTATAGGAGCTGAGTGATGTTCAGTATACTCAGGACCTTGCCCTCTGCCAGGAAGGAATGATGATCGTTAGGAAGTGCTGCTTCTGCTTTAAATAGAAGTCTCTTACTCAGTGCCTTCCTCACTTACGTAAGGGGTTGGTCCTGTATGAATGATGTGTGTGCTGTGCTGTACCTCAGTGCTTGAACGGTGGGCATCAGGCATGAGTATGACAGTAGTGAGTATCTGGAGCTCTGTTCTGTGGCCAACTGCTTGTACTGAGCAGCTGCCACCTTTTAGCAATCAAACCTGAGCAAAATAAATCAGGGGAGTTGCAATGTTTTTAAAGTATGGATTAAATTAGCTGAAGGAGTGCATCTGGTGAGTAGTTAAAGTGGAAGGCACTGTAATAGGACTTTATTTAATGGCAATTTCAGTGTCAGACTATAAACCCCTCTATTTCTGGCATAGGGCTTTAGGGAGGACACTGTACCACACTGCATTTGAGGAGCAGAAATTATGCTATGGCCAGAAAAATTGTGGAAGCTACGAGATAGCATGGGTACACTTGAACTTAATTGGTAAAAAATCACTAAACCTTTAAAATGCCAAAGCTTAGAATTATTGTTGTTTATCTCAGCGTTCCACCTGTAAAGCAAAACGTGCATACAGGAGGAAAACCACCTTCAGCTTTGCATAGCCAGAATTGACCTGCCATTGCAAGAAACTCCTTAAGGAATTCTGGTTTTAAAAGGTTATAACATCCTTTCCTAACTCCTTTAACTGTTCCTGTACACTGGGACAATGTCCAGGTAAGGGCATTAATGGTACCAAGGCATGCCAGTACTGCAGGTCTGGCTTGCTGAAGAAGCTAACAAATGATGCAGCACTTGTACTGGATAAACAGCCACGCTTCAAGTAGCCAAAGCATACGTGCACAGATCTTTATCCAGGGATGCCCTTCTCTCCCTTGTCTGTACTAACTCTTATCTTGTTGAATTGCCATTTAGAATGTCCTTCTCTTCCAACCTCAATCACTACGGGATGGTCCACGTAGCCAGCGTGAGTGATGTACTGCTGGATAACTCCTTCACCCCACCGTGCCAGCGCATGGGTGGCATGGTCTCCTTCCGCACCTTCGAGGATTTTGTCAGGTACGTGGGGCAGGGTGAGGGTTGGGTGTGTTCCCACCTTCCTGCATGGGCCCAGATGGAACTGGAGAAAACCTTTGTCTTGTCTAGAGTCAGGTTTAAACGGGGCTGGAGCTTGTGAGCGAAGTTCTGGGATTTCAGGTGGAAGTTTGTTTGGATCCTTGAGATGACAGCAGAAAGCTTCAGACTGCTGTAAGAGCAGTTTGCAACCAGGAGAATCAGCATCTTGAATCTCTGCTGATTGGGGATCATTTGTAGATGTGCTGATTTCCTCTAACGCTCTTGTTCACATGCGTGTAAGTGGGAGCATGTGGCCTTTATGATTTCAGTCTTGTAGGGGCGGGCAAAACCCACCCTACAGAACCTTTAGCAGTCGTGAGGGCCTGCAACCACAAGATCTCTGACTAATGTTAGAAGATCCAGGCTCTGCTTTGTTTAGAGGGGTGCTCCTCATCTTCTGAGTTTGTCCTGCACAGGGAAGGAGTTCCTTTCTCTCCCTTTCCCCTTTAGTGACATGATTTGTGGCTCTCAGTGCTGTGTGGCCTTGCAGCAGCGTCTTGACTAATACTCCTCTGGTGTATTTCAGAATCTTTGATGAAGTGATGGGTTGCTTCTGCGACTCTCCTCCCCAGAGCCCAACCTTCCCTGAAGCTGGCCATGCTTCCTTGTATGATGAAGACAAGGTACAGCAGTTTTTTTCTCTGGAGATTACTCTCAGCCTGGAAAGAGAAGGCATTGGAATGCCACAGTGACTGCAGGCTAGATACTTTTCACTGGTTCCAGTGCTGGAAGCAGGAGTTAAGAGCTTTATGTATTTATGTATGTGGTTCGTTTACTTGTTCCACAGCAGGTGATTCCAAGTAGGTGGCCATTTTCTGACTCTGTTCTAAAACTACAACAAAATCTCTTGCTCTCCGTGTAATTCTAGTTTGTAGCTTTTAACATCAGCACAATTACAGGATCCACAGCAGCGTAACTGAGAGTTTAGACCCACAATTAAGTGCATCGGGAAATTGAACGGCATATTCAACTGCCTTTACCTTGAGTCTGACTTATTTTGTGCCTTACACCCTTCCTAGTCACGTTGCCTTCAGATTCTTCCCTCTGTTCTACCTGTCAGCACTGTTTTGAGGAGGAAAAGATGAGAGGAACCTCTCAGTTTTTGCATTAATGTGGAGTACAGGTGCAGAGGGAGCAGATGGTTCATAATCCTTAGTAACAGAAGACCAGTTTCCCTTAGAGACACAGGTAGCTGCTCCACTGCTCTATCCTGCCCCCCAACAGCAGGAAACTCTGTGGGAATGCAGTCTGTGTCCAGAACAGGGCTTGGTTTTAAACTGATCCATTAATCTTGATGTGTGTGAATACTGTAGCCTTGTTCCAGAATATTACCACCAGCTTTAATGCCCCTAGATCTCTCTTTACCTCCCCCTCACCTCACCAAGGATAACTTCCTTTTCATACTCAGTTTTTCACAGTTAACCACAGGCTCTCAAATGCTGAATTTTTCATTTCTCAAAGCTCTAATGTAATTTGTGCTTCCACATTGTTGCATTTTGGTGGAGACCTGAAAGCACACGTTGTTTTGCTCCTACACTTTGAATTCACTTAATTTCATCACCTCTCTTGATGTCAAAGTCCTCTAATGTCCTGCCTGTGCTGTGTCTTATAAAGAAACTACCTGACCCTACACTCCTTCTGCATCCAGATGCACCACACTCGGGTTAGCCAAGCCAGATGTGACCATCAGAATTGGATTCTCCAAGTGAAGCTCCTGTTGTGGGCATTAACTCCTACTCCTGTGAAACTTCACATTTGTGAGGCTGCTTGGTCAAGGATTTCCCTCATGTTTTTCCTTGGTGCACAGCGTGTTCTGCTGAGGCCATTTCCCCATGGACATCTGTGTGTTAGAGCTGTGTTTAGGGAGCCTCTTTTGAGAACTTGTTGGTAACTATTTACTGATGGAGAATGTTTTCTTTCAATTGCAGGCTGCACGTGAGGAGCCCATTCACATTCTCAATGTTGCTATTAAAACAGACAGTGATGTGGATGATGATGGGCTGGCAGCCATGTTCAGAGAGTTCACACAAAGCAAGGTAAGTCACCTTCATCCTCTCCCTGTCATTGGTGCAGGATGGTTCTGTTTGCTTTGGGAAACAAATAAATGCAACAGTTACATCCTTCATTTACCCCATCTAAAGCCTTACTGCTGCTTTGGATGTAGCTGCACCTTCCTGAAGCTTCTGGACCGTTGTTTCTCTTTGCAGTGTGTTCTAACCCATAAGGTCAGGATTTCTGCCCTTTAATTTTTGATAGGGTAAAAGACCTTTAAGGTTTTAAATGCATCAGGTGAATCTTGATCTGTCTTCAGATACTCTGCAAAAATGTCCTGTATCCCTCTCCGTGGTGACACAGTTGTTAAAGGCATGGGAAGTGACATTAAAATGGTCTGTATTTGCTGTATTACAATAGTCTTAATGTACCTAAAGTTTGTCCTCTGTGGTGGTGGCATCCTGGAGCATCTAGTAGGATATTTCTGGCTCAAGGTGGAATTGATATGATGTGTTCGGTGCCTCTTCCATAAGCATGGGCCACACTGCTGCATGGGTGGTACCTGCAAGCACTGTGGGAGGACTGAGTGAGTAGCATCTAAAATGGGGCTAGAATCCACATGGCTTCAGCAGTTCCCTGTCTCTTTAAGAAAGGAATATACCCAAATATTAAAACTAGTTCTGCTTTTCATCTGCTTGATCATGCTCCAGGCGTTTTATGGGAGGGGATAAAAGGAAAGAGAGAGGGGGGCAAAAAATTCCAAACCACATTAAACTATCAAATAGGTTGATCCAAATTGTCCAAATAATCTTCCAGTCCCAGCATGTTGTGTGTGGTTTTTTTAATAGAAATTAGGATCATATACTTGTAAATGACTTGTGGAGGAGATTGAGGCAGTCAGTGTAAATGGAGTTTCTCCAGGTGCTGATGGCTAATCGCTCTGTAATAGCTGTGGACTTGCTGTGAGACCCACATTATTACGATGTAATCAGAATCCTGTTGCTATGCTGTTATTGTCTGCCACTTGTGGAATTTTAAAAGCAATAACAATTTTTGCTTTTTAAATCATGGCATTATTAAAGTTATTTTCTTCCTCTTGCCATGAATATAGTCACTGATGCTCATTTTCAAAGGGCTTAACCTTAGTAAAACATTTCAGTCTGTGCTGAAAGGGGTTGTTTTGTTCCTGCTCTGCCTCAGTTGTTTCGTTTTTGTTCTTCCTTTTTTCCATTGCTGTTGCTTTTAAATTGGAAAAAGGAGGAGAAAGGCAGAAGTTTTAGGAGCAGAATTATGAGATCTTAACACTTCAAAAGAGCAGTGATGTGGCAAATACTGACGGCAGCGCTCGTTTGAAACGTGGCTTAGTGGAATGTGAGAAAGAAGCAACCAGAATGGATGTTCCCTAATCTACTTGAAAGCCCCCCAAACAAATAACACCTTTCATTTCTCACCTTTGCAATATTGACACATCTGGCCTGGGTTGGCTGTGTGCTTGTTGTGCCAAAATCAAGTATGTGCTACCTCCTTCCTTGGGCTAGCTCCTTTAAACCTCATTCCCCATCGTTTTCCGTGCCTGTGCTGCGCTCCCTTCGCAAAGTGATCGTTGCAAAAAAGGCCAGCTTCCTTTGGCAAAGGAACAAGAGTGTTTCCTGCAAGACTTGGCTGTGACTCTTCTGTGTACTTGTTAGCGAGGCTCAGCTGGAATGCCGTGTTCCTGTGATTCGGTTACTTACCTCTTCAGATTTAATTAATGTATTTGCTGTGTGTGCTGCCAGACGGCCATCACATGAGAAACCCTACCTGCGAGCAGGCTGAAGCGGACTGGGAACTCGCAGCAGAGATGCAGCAGCTTCTGTGGAGCTTTTCCAGCTCATAGGAAGGCTTTGACATGGTTTTGACTGGTTCTGGTGCTGTTACTCCACTCACCTGCTTCCATCCTTGCCTTTCACAGAAATCAGTCCTGATTGAACACGGGATTCGGAGGCTGACTTTCCTGGTAGCACAAAAGGTATTTTGACATCTCCCGTGCCGCTCAGCACTCTTTGCTTTCTAGCTCATAATAGCTCTGACACTTTGTGTGTGTTTTCCCCCCATTAAAAGCTGTATTTAACTATATTTAGTTCTTTCTTCACTGGTTTTGTTCTCTAAAATCTGAAATGGTTTTGATGAATTTGCTTAAGAGAATGAATTTACAATTGTAACCATCCTTGCAGCCTTTGTGTTCTTGAATTAATTCGTTTTAATTTTCATCCTAATTGGTAGCTTTCTTCTGCTTTGTTTTTCCCCTTGTCTCCCTGTGTTTGTATGTTTCGTTTGTAAGGACTTCAGGAAACAGGTCAACTATGAGGTGGATCAGAGATTTCATGTAAGTAAAAAGGGCCTAAACCATGGTGGTATTCTTGACCTGAGGCCAGGAGACACGTAAATGACTCCAGGTTTCTCCTTTGGTTCTCAGTCCAGGTTGGACGGGGCTTGGAGCAACCTACTCTAGTGGAAGGGGTCCCTGCCTGTGGCAGGGGGTTGGAACTGGATGAGCTTTAAGGTCCCTTCCAACCCAAACCAGTCTGGGATCTATGATTTAATGCCAACGTTGCTGTCAGAGTTACGTGGAGTACTTAAACATCTCATTTCAAATACAGGATCAGGTCTTTTGCACTCAGGAGGGTCATTCACGTGCTCAAGTCTCTGTTGATACCTGGCTGAGCTCATGACTGCCACATTAATAAAGGGCTTGTTTGGTTTGGTGGTGTTTTGTGTTCTAAAATGCAATCATCAACTTAAATGCTTGTATTTCTTGCATAGTGTGGTGATTTCTTTAATCTTCTTCCTGGCTTTAACTCAGAGGAGTAGTTGAAGTGACTTGCTGGACTTCTCATAATAGCTTTGTGAGGTGGCAAATGTTTGATGCTCTTACTGCTAAGGATTACTTCTTTCCCCAGGGCTTGGGCAGCAGTGAGGGCCACTTTAACCCTGTTTTCAGTGTGGCATTGTAAGGTATCAGTCAGATTTTTATCCCTTGTGTATCTGCTTTACAACTCCGGAAATCATTAGGAGTCTTGAAGGTCCAAGAAGTCCCCCCTGTGCTCCACACACGTGGTTTAGCAAGCTGCACGAGAGGAAAACCAGCCTACAAACCAGTATAAATAGTGTTTGTACAAATGGGGGTATCACCACATGGAAATTGCTGCCACAGTACAGGCACAGACATGTATCAGTCAATGGCTTGTGTAGGAGATAGGATTCTTTGGAGAGGTGTTGGGGTCTTAAGCAAGGAAGTTCAGGCTTTAGGTTTTAAAACCAGGAAGTTTTAGATAAATGAATTGATATTTGAAAGTGAAAAATGAAAGCCTGTGAATAATGAATGTAGCATGTGTCAGTGGTCAGAAAGGAGGGAAGGGATAACAGGAGACATCCCTAAAAGCTTTCCCTGAGCTGCTGTTCAGAGCAATGGACTGCTGGGATGCTCCTCGTTCTGAAGCTGGAGGAGGCAGTGTGGTGTATCACGTGCTTGCAAAGTTTGTGGAGCACCTCTGGATCTCCTGTGAGTGTCAGTCTTTATTACAGCTCCTCTTCTATCCCGTTTATTACTGGACCAACTGTTAACTTAGCCAGGGCCTGGGCTTGGGTTTGTTTTTGTTTTAATTACAGTCTATATAATTAGTTCCCAGCATGTTGAGGTAATAGAGAGTTGCTCCAGCAAGCTTCCAATTTCCTCATCTCATTAGGTTTTTAACGTGATTATTAGTATAATAATCAACTGTGATGATTTCTGTTGTAGCTCTGCACATTCGGTGGTTTGCAGGGTGTCTGGATTGGCTAATTTAGGCAAATTATTGTGATTGTCTTGATGATGGTTGGTTGATTAGAACACAGCAGGGGGATAATTCTTCTGCCTGGGAAATGGAGCGCTCTTTTGGATTTTGGTACCCGAGCACTGAGAATTTTTTGTGTGTGTGCACATCTAATTATTATATTTGCCCACCACACTCGTCAAATGCCTTGAATAGCAATTACATTAGGGATAGAATGAGCATGGGTGATGAGAGGAGGAATTGGCAGCATGCAGAGGAGGACAGGTAGGAGGGATTTGGAAGAGAAGGGAGGAAACGTGGAAGTGGTAGTTTTCTCAGTGCAGTTGATGCTCATAGATTCACCTGATGTGCCTGAGTTATCAGGTGGGGTTTCTGTTACCACCAGTTGGTCAAAGTAGTCAAACACAGGTTATTTTGCTCAGCTGAGGTTGATCAGGTGAAGTTCTGAAGTTTCTTTATAGCAAGTAAGGGAGATGACTAGGTAGATTACAAGTCATAGTTTTCCTTAGGAAGAGAGTATTCCTAGCAGTAATAGTATGAAGAGAGCTATAGAATACACATTGTCATCGTGTGTGCATCTGCCTCCATGACAGAGTGTTAATATCATTGTATGGCTCCCAAACATTTCCACAGGAATCATAATCAAAATAGAAGTTTCCCACTGTTGTCTGGACAGTTCCCTGCTGTTGTCTGTTAATAATTATCCATAACAATAAAAACCCAGTCAGGTATGCTTTTTGCATTAGCACTGAAGACAGGTTTAAGCTTCCTCTGCTGTCTTCTGGAGGGAAACTTGATTTTCCACCACCCTTTGAGCTGTCGAGCACGTAGCTGGTAATGACTCCTGTCATCTGCTGTGCTGTGGTGCTGCCCAGCTCTGCCTGGCAGCACTCTGGGTAGAGCAGTGGGGTTACTCTGGGAGGGCTGACGCTGTTGTTTCTGTTTTCAGAGGGAGTTCCCAAAGTTCTTCACCTTCCGTGCCCGGGATAAGGTAAGTTGGGGGTTCCTAATAGTTGAGTTTGAGGACTTGCTCTTTTGCAGTTTGTCTTCTAGGCTCAGTGTTTCAGTTTCAACACCGCTCTTGGTGTTTCAGCTTCTTTAACCCACCCTCCTCTTTGACACTCTTTTCTACCTGTTTGCTGCCTCCAGTTTGAGGAGGACCGCATTTACCGGCACCTGGAGCCAGCTCTGGCTTTTCAGCTGGAGTTGAACCGAATGCGGAACTTTGACCTCACTGCCATTCCCTGTGCCAATCACAAAATGCATCTCTACCTGGGAGCAGCTAAAGTTGAAGTGGGAACAGAGGTGACAGACTACAGGTTCTTCGTGCGGGCTATTATAAGGCATTCGGATCTGGTTACCAAGGTGAGTCTTGACCATGCAAAGTCTCTGTTTTTACCTGTGCAGAGTGTGTATGTGTGCCCTCTGTTTGCTGGCTCTGCAGAAGCATGTCTTCGGGGACCTTGTATTCCTCTGCTTCAAGGAGATCTTTTGGTGGCCCAGGTGGCTTGTCAGGAGTCCTTGCATTTCGAGGCAGCTGCAGTTCCCCTGTGTTTCTCCTGCCCTGCACAAGGCAGCTGGGTGCACAGATTGGGCAGTGGGGGTTCTGGCTCTGTGATGGTGATGGATCTGCTTCAGGGTTGCACATCCTGCTGAAACTCATGTAACCTATTTTCACAGTCAACTCCTGCAGATTTTCAGATACTCTATTCTTGGGCTATGAGGTTTGGAGTAGAAAGTAAATTATCTGTTCACAATCTTTGGCAGGAAGCCTCCTTTGAGTATCTGCAAAATGAGGGGGAGCGGTTGCTGTTGGAAGCCATGGATGAGTTGGAGGTGGCATTTAACAACACCAACGTGCGCACGGACTGCAATCACATCTTCCTGAATTTCGTGCCTACTGTCATCATGGACCCATCCAAGGTAAGATCTCCCCCAGCTCCAAACTGCTGTTTTCATGGGCGTGACTCACCAGAATTAAATGGTTTCTTGTTGCCTTTTATTGCTATTTAAATGCACCTATTGATAGAGTACAGTTTAATACCCACTGGGGAGCGACAAGTGGCTTCTGCTCGCCACTTTACAACAGAAAGCACAGGAAACTGGGACCAGTGTTAAGTGGTAACGTGAAGGCCAGTTTAGTTATTCTGCAGATCCTGGAGTTTTGCTTTTCAGTGAAGAAAGTGGAGTCACATAACTTAACAGAGCCTGTTTGGCAGCGAGGAGGGAAGAGAGCTTTGGGTTTTCCTCTAATCTATGAATAAATATTACATGTAAGAGTCCAGAACTAGCAGAGCTCATATATTTAGTGGAGTAACACTGTCCTTCAGGCAATGCAGCTCTCTTCCTCTGTGGGAACCAAGGAATAGCTTATTAAAAGTATGTTTTGTATTTGAAGCGAAACTTATTTTTTCATTGTGTGTTTGATAGAAACAAGTTTAATAAGGTAATATCTTTAAATGCTCCTCTGTTTGTTACCAAAGTCCTGATTCTGTCCAAGTAAAACATGAGGTAAGTCATGAACTTAAAAAGAATTTGTCCATTCAGCTACAAAAAGTGCCTCATTTTCAGTCCCTGATACCAAAGCACAGAGATCAACATCATAACTAAACGAACCTTAAACCTTACAGATGCATAAATGCAAGTGTCAAGGCATAAAGCATGTTTCTGGTTAGCAGAAGCACTGCAAAGAAAGTCCCCGGTAAATTGTAAAGGCTACGTTTAGGGGGAAATCAACATTCTGTTCATGGCTACCCAAAGGTGAGAGCTGACCTTTCCTTATGAGAATCACTGGAAGCTTACAAAGATGACTTGGTTATCAAAATAAGTGTCTCTTGCTTGATGACTTTTACATCATGATTAAAAATTGGTGGCTTAAATCGCTTTGGAATAAATCCTCTCTTGGCACACCCAAAATGTTGAGGTTTGGGAAGTTCAGAAGAAGCCTGGATGCTCAGCCCCTGGAATTTCAGCTGCCCTTGGATGTGTACCATGACTTTTCCCTAAGCTGCTGTGGAAAAGAGACTTTAGTTTTTGAAAGAATGTTAAAACCAGCCTATAAATTGCCTTCTTTTAATATGCACCATTTGCCAACAGCACTATATTATCAAGTTTAATAGAACACCAGAAGGCCAAGCTCCAAGTCGTAATTGCTTTGGTGATTTAGAGCACCGTACCGCGTGTGTGGTGAAACATGATTATTGTGGTGCTACACAACTGTTTGTCAGGGGTTTCCTTTGCCTGCGTTTTGTTCTTAGCTGTGAACTGTGCCTGGAGGAGAGGCAGAGCAAGGGGAAGCGGTGGGCACGCTGTGCCATGCTGGGCTGTGATGTGCCATGAGGAAAAAGGGGAGGGATTGCAGTGCTGTCCCTCAACCTCACTAAGTCCCCAGGTTGAGTTTAGGTCCTGCGTATCTCAAGGCTCGTTGGGATGAGAACGAAGGGCACCGAGGCGCCACGGCAGCACTGGGCACGTGCTGCACTTTGGTGCTTCCATCTCTCCTCTTGTGTGATGTTCCCCCGTAACCCTTTGAGCAGGACCTCACAGCAGGGGGATGGAGGGGTGACCGAGGGGTGGATGCATCCAGAAGGGTGACTGGAATTCTTCTCCTGTGTTTTAAGATCGAGGAGTCGGTGCGGAGCATGGTGATGCGCTACGGGAGTCGCCTGTGGAAGCTCCGTGTGCTCCAAGCTGAGCTGAAGATCAACATCCGTTTGACTCCAACTGGGAAGGCGATTCCCATTCGGCTCTTCCTGACCAATGAGTCAGGCTATTATTTGGACATCAGCCTATACAAGGAGGTGACGGACTCCAGAACAGCACAGGTACGGTTCCCTATGGCTCTGTGGTTTCATGAGCAGATCATTCTGGGGGGAGATACATTCTACCTAGTGAAGCTAGAGGATCTTTGAATGGGCTAGAAGACCTTTGAAGGTCCCAACCCAAACTATTGTATGAAGCTCTTCTGTGGGGTGTGGTGTTTTCAGGCCATATAAAATTACCATTCAACTTGCCAAAGGAATGTAAAGCTAATCTTGCAATAGGTGTGTAGGTGTGAAGAATGCAGTCAGTTATGTGGAGTGCATGCCTTCTGATTGTGTTTTATGCACCTTTGGTCATTTGTACATCTGTTTTCCTCTGGCAGAGTGCTCAAAGAAGCAATAGAAAAGCAATTGCTGTTGGTGCTCATTCTGTAGGCTGTAATAAAAAATATTACTAATTATATGTTTCCCTGAGTAGATGGAGAAAATCTGTGAACTTGTCTTTTAAATTCTAAGGATACAAGGAATGACCTGGGTAGGATGATATAAAATTACTGAAGGTGCTTTTATATCATTTTTATGAAGCATAATGGGCTCTTTTGTAATGGCTGTGGCTATTCTGGTATTCCTGCTTTTCATGGCACAGGAATAGTGTGCTTAAGTGCAATCCCTACATATGCTAAAATCCATGGAGCATAGGATGCATGAGAAATATTTAAATACAGCAATGTTTACTTCTCCCTCTGTAATAATCTCTCTGCCATGCAGAAGCAGCAGCAGAATAAATCACTTGGGCACCATTAATGCTGAACACAAAGTGCTGAGTCACCTTTTCTCCTCCTCTTCTCCATTTAAATGTTTCCAGCAGGCTGCCTGGCCATACAGCCCATCCAGAGATCCCAGGGCAGATAGGGGCCGTGTGCTTTGCCTTGGAGTGGGGATGGGGAAAGAAAAGAGCATTTTCATAATCTCCAGTAGCTGAGCTTAACACTTGGTTCTTGTTAGCCATTTGTGAAGGTCACCTTTGCTCTTAAACTCTGTCTCTGATGAGCTTTATGTTTTTAAGCTGGGGAATGTACTTGTGAGTGTGCAGCTTTTAGCAACCTTCCCAGTGTTTGATCCTTTTTCCATTATATTAAACCAGGCTCTATTAAAAAAATGTACCATAGAAATTACTATGGAAAAATTACCATAGGAATTGCTGTGATTAAACTTTGAGTAGTTGAGAGGAAGGTTTGACTTGCAGAGCTTGAGGTGCTCGGTTTTTAAGTAACCTTGGTAAATGTTCCCCCTCGTGATGGAGGTTTATAGGATGGGTTTGGGTCTGTGTGGTTTTCTCCTGTGTATTCAGAGTTATTTTGAACTTAGAGCACTGTTCTGAAAGAGCTCAATCATTACTGCTGAGATGGGTGCTTTGACTTCTGAAGACTAGAAAAACAGATTCATCATGAAAGAGTGAATGACCCCATCTCTTGTTCAGTTTCTGTGGCACTGGGTGGTGATGCTCACATTTCCCAGTCACTTCCCACAGAACCATTCTGAAGCTTTCCAGAGATCCAAGAAGAACTGGGCTCCAAGTGTACTAAAAGCTCTTAACACAGGCCCTGTCACAAGCACTTGTTACCCTGAATAAATACTTCTCCCATTGAAGAAGCTGCTTCACAAAGGAAAGTCTGTGGAGACTGGAGAAAGCATGAACTACTATTTTTAATCTAAAACTTAAAATAGGCTTTACTTAGTGAGTTTTATCTTAGTGAATTCTTCAATTAATTCATCTTCAATTAGAAAAAGATGTGTTGCATGTAACATTAGAACTGATCCCTATTCTGTTTAAACCAAGCCTTAATCATACCACTTCTCAGGCGTGTTTCCATTAAGCAGCATTTGAACCATGTTGTCCCACTTAAGCAGCTCCTCCTGTTCCTTGGTTGCAATAGATTTCTTCCGAGTCCTGCCTGGGTGGAATATATGGTGCCACGAAGCATGGCAGTTGATAATTCATGTTGCTACTTGGGGAAAATCTTTTCAACTTAACAATATCAAAACTTCAAGCCAAATGACATATGCAAGTCTTGACCTAGCTGCCATGATCAGTCAGTGGAGATGCGGGTGCCGTGCTCTTCCACTGCATTAAATAACAGAGTTCTCCTCTCTTCTCCCAGCTATCACAATCCATCGGCATAGATACGGTGTCAGGGGAAATGCTGGGGGATGTGAAGTCGTCTGAGTCACAGAGGGGATGTGGCTCTGTTCACGTTGCTCTGATAGGGCAATAAGTCAGTGATACATGGATCCATGCAGTAATGGTCCACTCTGTCTCCAAAGGGTAGTAATGCATGATGAAATATAGTGTTACAGCCTGTGGGAGTATTAACATATTTGTAGAGCACAGAAACAAACCCGATCAGTCTGGAATATCTTGATGATATTTTGGTGAAATCTGTATGAAATAGGTGTATGGGACCAGTGGATGAAACAGTAATTGGTCTTGTTTTGTGTTGCAGATTATGTTCCAGGCGTATGGGGATAAACAGGGACCACTTCATGGGATGCTGATCAATACCCCCTACGTGACCAAAGATCTGCTGCAGTCCAAGAGGTTCCAGGCACAGTCTTTAGGGACATCATATGTCTATGACATTCCTGAGATGTTTCGGCAGGTAAGTGCTCTTGGGGCCTGGTGGGTAGCTCTAAACTTGTGTACCTGCAGAGCAGTGCTATCAGTTGCCATTCTTTGCTTGTCAGGGCAACAAGCAGCCTGAAGTGGCTTACAGGGTTTATAGGGCTGTGGATCAAGTCTGCTTTGGTAGAAATTAGGACTGTGGATGCACTGCTGCTGTAGTTCCATTAATAAGTCAAACAGCAGAAGCTGGAATGTAAACCAGAATAAGTGATACCCACGGACTGCTGTCAGTCAGATGGGGAGGGATGTTCTGGAGTGTTCTGTCTTGAATATTAAGTCTCAGTGGATGAAATAAAACTATTTGCAGATGGTCTTAACAAGAATTTCTCTTTCCATTGCCCAGTCTCTGATTAAACTCTGGGGTTCTATGAATGAACACGCATTCCTGCCAACGCCGCCGCTGCCTTCCGACATCCTCACGTACACCGAGTTGGTGTTGGATGACCAGGGCCAGCTCGTGCACATGAACAGGCTGCCAGGAGGAAATGAGGCAAGTTGCACTTTCTTTAATGCTACTTTTCTTCCCATGTCCTGCAGGACTTTGTGGTTTGGACTAAGTTTGACAATGGTAATGAAAATTTACCAACTAGGCACAGGATCTATTCATTCACTCTTTCACAGATGAAATCTCTCCCTTGAAAATGAGGTTTTTGTTTCATTAAAAATTAATACCTTCCATACAATGGGTATTTTAACCTCCATAGTAAATGATGATTCCATTTCAAACCCGTGCCTATGCTGGTTTTCCTTCATAATTAAAAAGCGCTCATTCAGCAATTCCAGGTACTTGGGGTTTGTACTGGAGCAAAATCTGTTTTACAAGCCTAAATAGAAATGTTTTCATTTGCTTAAAAAACAAAAAGTAAAAACGATTTTATGCTTTCCATTGAAATACTCACCCTGCAGCGTTTGTGTAGCAGGCACTGGCAAGGTGTGTGCAACATCCCCCTCTAGTGAATGATTTACTTGAGACTAAGAACCTGCTAATGCTATTGAGCTGCTCCTTCAGCTGGAGCACGAAGGGGCTGTTGTGGTGGGGTTTGCTGGTGTGTCATTCCACCAGCAGACCAAAGATGCAGCATTGAAATGACCAGAGAGTAAAGCTCACTGGTAGAAGATGTGTTTATTTCTTTTGCCAAGGCTAGGTGGGATTCAGTGAGTGAATGCTCCTGCTGTCATTTAAATCTGAACACTTCTAAGTGGTGGTATCATTTATTTCTACTTGGCATCACTGAACTAGCACCATCCTTTTCCTAGGTACGTCAACTTCAGATTTGCAAAAGCTCTGTTCAGAAACGTCAAGTATAGTGATGGGAGGAAATAGGGGTTTTCATCACTATTTACTGCATGTATCTTGTCAGGGGAAGGGTTTGAATATGATGTTTTCAGATTGAACCTAATCAGTAAATGGTGACTAGGAGAGTTCTGCGTCCTTGTCTTTCTCAGGCCTATAGGAGAACTGCTTTAACTAGTATAATTAAACCTGGAATGAGCTATTCCCTGCATTCTCAGCAAAAGCTGAGGCTGTGGTGCTGGGGAGGCTTATGCCATCATCTTTCTCTCTTTCTCTGTTCTCATTCAGCCTTTGAGTGGATGGTGGCTGGGGAAATAGTGAAGTCCCTCAGGGACGTAGCTCTGTTCTTGCTGAAATTACAAGCATAGAGCTGCCTGGGCATGAACATGTAGTGTTTACTCTGCCAGTATGAATACAAATAGTCTTATTATAAGAGATTCTGTACCCAAAGACAACCAAAAAAAAAAATTAGGAGGCTTTTTTAACCCTTGGTAGACTTAGTTATGTTCAATCTGTAAAGAAATTACATGGCGCTTGTGGTGCGTGCAGTGGTGTTATCTAAAGCACAGGTTCCAGCCCTGCCTCTGTGCCTGTTACGCCAAGGGGTTGAGTCACTGCAGAGTGAGATGGACAAGGGGGAAGCACGATGTTCCCCTGCATTTTTCAGTCTGGCTGCTGAAGATCCCTTCCTGTGGAGGTATGGACTGTAACATGCTTTATAATGACTTCTGGAATGGAGGTGAAATCCCAGCCCGGGGCTTGGTGTTCAGCCCCAGGAAGTGCCCTGTGCCTCCCTAGGGAGGCTCGTGGATGTCAGCCCAGCCTGACTGGAGCTGGACAAGTTGCTCTAGGACCATGTGCAGCTGGGATGAGGTTTGAAGCTTTGGTATTGAATTGTGTCACCAGTCACCACCACACACAATAGAGCTTATTCACAGCTGAGAGGAAGAGGTTCCAGCAGCAGGCTGAAGGACAGGTGACATTCAGGAGGCGACGAGCTGCTGAACAGGTTCATTCCTCTGTGCTGCACTTGCTTTATCTGGATGAGCTGACTTTAGGCTTTTATGGTTTAATTCCTTTCAGCTGAGGAAACCCATTTTCACAAAGGCACACTCCAGGTTCTCTTTCCAAAGGGGATGGCTGCAGGGGTGGAGAAGGAAGAGACAGGATGCTAGATAAATTCAGAGCATAAGCCTTTTCTTTGTTGAGGCTGTAAGTGGATCTGTTCTGCTTTTGTTTGAGAGTCAGTCTGCATGGCATCTGGGCAGAGAAATACAGCATCTTCTGTGCCAGGTAGCAAAGATCCCTGGGGTTATCCATCAAGGTGGAAATAGCTGGTAGCATTGCACAGGAAGAGGAGTCAGGCCACAAGGAGCAAGAGAAAATCATCGTCATCAGACTAGTTTGGGTTGCAAGGGACCTTAAAGCTCGTCCAGTTCAACCCCCTGCCATGGGCGGGGACACCTTCCACTAGAGCAGCTTGCTCAAAATGTGAATTGGTTCTGCACTTCTTCCATATGATGGGGACCATTCTCAAAACGTGGCATGTTTCCTTGGCTCTCTAAACTGCCTGCATTTCTTAAGGAAGAGTTTTGTCCTCAAATAGATGTACTTGACTTCAGAATGCGAGAAACCCCACATACACTGAAAATCACGTTACAGGGGAGATGATCACTAATATGAGTTTTTGAATTTGGATTTGCTAAATAAGTGCTGCGTATTATGTTATACAGCATTCCCCCAGCTTTGGTTAGTTAATGGTCAGTGCCAGTGGGATCTGTGCCTGAGATCCAGGGGTATGAACTGTTCTCAGGTCAGCCCCAATGAGCTGAGTTACTAAAGAGGAAATGTCTGCTGAAATCTTCTGGCTATGGTAAATCTAGCTGCTCTTCAGTGCATTTCACTGTTGTACTTGGTTTAGATCAGACTCAAACACAGCTATTCCCATTGGAAGTAGTGCCTCACCACTGTGGTACCAGCTGTTCTGAGGTAGGCTTGTCTTTCTTGCTGGAGCTCTGCTACACCAGTTATGTTTTCTGTCTGTGAGAAGGGGTCAAGACACTCTTCCTCTCAAAGCATTCAGCCAGGCTGAGTGCTCTGATTGTTTTAGCTGGCAGGGAAATGGAGAAACCAGCAGAAAATCCAGGAGATTTGTGGTCAGTGCATTCAGCAGGATGGCAGCAACTGCAATTCCAGGCCCTGCTCCAAGACGGGCAGAGCAGGAGCTGGGAGCTGAGTTTCTGCTGTCCTCTCGGAGTTCACAGGTAGCATTCTATAACCTGTCTGTGTTTGCAGGAAAACCTGAGAAATGGGAATTCTCAACAACTTTCAGAACACAAGAGGTGTTTCCCTGCTTAGCTCGCTGCCACTTCAGTGTAGCCCACCACCTCATTTGGCATTATCTCTTTGCTGGGAGTCTCAACAAAAGAAGCCAAGGACTTAATGGACCATGAAAATACAACTTGCTCTTTATTCCTACACAGTGCTTGCTCCTTCCGAGCAAGGCTCCTGCCTCTTGCCACAGTGCATGGGGAGCATGCAGTGCTGCTGGCCCTGCTGCCTGGAACACATCGCTAATGCTGGGCCTTCTTCCAGCCTCTTGTTCTCAGTGCAGCCAGAGCTCTGCCTGAAGCGCATCTGCTGTTTCTTTGGCCTGCAGACAGAGTCTCCTGCATGTTGCCTGGAGCTGTCTGCTGGATGGTTTCTGTTCTGGAGCCTTCATGTTAAGCTTGTGAAGTGTGTCCTGCTCTCTAATTGCTTTCTTTTTAGGAGTTTGGGGGGTTTTTTGGGGTGTTGGGTTGGCTTTTCTTTTGTGTGTGTCCCTTCTATTACTAGTCTGGCTGCTTTGACACCTCTGCTCATGTGTCAGACTCTTGTGATGAGCTCTGCCTGCTACCACAGGATTTCAGTAAGCCCACACCTTTGACAAGGCTGAATGTGCCATACTAAAAAGTGGAGAACGGTTTGTAAGTAATCTCGGAGCCATCAGCTATCAAAGGGAGCTGAAGATGACAGTATTTTATCAGCAGAACCAAACACCAGGTGATAGCTCCCTGCTAAATGCTCCTGAGTAAAGACTGAATAGACTTTGGGACAAATGGGGTATAATTTAGTGTACAATTGAGCTTATGAAGAGCTGAGGACCAGAGGTGGATGCTCGGCCTGACTCTTCAGATAGACACAGACCATTGGAAAGTACAGAGTTTATATAGGTGGGAAAAGTCCACTTGTAATTGTTTGTAATCTCACATATTTTAACCTTAAATGGCTTTGAAGAAGACTTTAAGAGAAGTCCCTGATTTCCCTCCGTAGTTACATGGCTGTGCTAAAAGGGGGAGATTTCTGTGTTACAAACGGTGTGAATACAGCAGTGAGCAGGACTTGGGGTGCAGAACTGCTGGTAACTCTTGGGTTTAAAGACTCCAGCTGTTGATTGCAGTGGCTCTGCTGGTGGCAGGACATGTAGTGACACCCCTTCAATGCCCATTGAAGGTGGCTTTGCTCTGAAGATTAGCGTATTACCTGAAGCCTTAATGTGAAAAGGTAATCCCCTCAGCCTGTGTAAGACTTGTTATTCTTGAGCTGGGCATTCTGATGGTTTCCTCTAGCACTTTATGTATTTTGACTACAATTTACCATGATCATCTGGCACTAGGACTGCAGCATCCGCTGATAAAACCCAACTCATCTTCAAGGGCAAGGAGAAAGTGAGGGCAAGGGAGTGCCTGGAGCAATGGCCTGTGTTACCCTTCAGCCCAGGCTCACGCAGTGCCCATGGAAAATGTCATTTTCCCTATTGGCACTAGATGTCACAGTTTTCCCTTCTCAGCAGCATGAAAATCAGCAATAATCCATGATCAGAGCTGGTTGCTGGCAGGCTGTGGGAAGGTTTGGACAGGTGAAACTCAGGACGGTGATGGGCAGAGGAAAAGTCCCTGCATGGCCTGGGGCTTAAAGTGCAGCTTAATGAATATTATACAAGCAAAGCTTAATAGTTGAACTGCATGTTCTGCTTTGTCACCCCATGTTCTTGTGGTTAATGACAGGCACAGGGTATCAAAACCCCTCTAATGTCACTCTGATGTATCTTTATCTGTCTGTAGCTTCACTGGGTGCAGACTATTTCAGCTGATGTTTTCAAGCCTCACACTCTGCCTAGGGAGAAGTTATTTACTGTTTAGTTTGGAAAGCTTCATCAAAAATGCTTTTGTTGGTGCAAAAGCTGCAGCGTTGTTCACAATCGACTTTGTGGGCTTGGAGCGGAAGCTTGCATTAGATAGAGAATCTGGTTTGGGTTCAGCGTTAGGCCTTTTGCTATCCCCAGGAGACACTGCACAAGCTTCATTCCTTGCAGCACAGATGTGTGTGCAGTAAAAACTCCTCTAACAGGTTATTTTGAGCTTTCCTTTTGGTGCTCTGCATCTCCATCCACTTCCCCTGACCATCAGCCAGGTTAGTGCTCATTTCCACCCTGGCTTGCCATCCGAGCACCCTCCACTCCAGTGCGAAGAACCAGGACAGGACAAAGTCACATCTCCTTCAGTCCGTGGTGCCACACGATGCTTTGACTGAGCAAACCTTTGTCACGTTTCCTCCTGGAACCATTTCCTCCCATCTCTCATCCGCTTGGCTGCGTGCTGTTGGGAAGGACCGTGCCAATGCGTGCTTGGCTCTGCCGCCTGCGACCGCAGCTTTGATGGCTAAATGACATCTCTTTCAGAGCCAAGAGGAGGATGAAGGAATCCTAGGTTTTGGCATTCCACCCTTGTCAAGGCATTGAGGCTGAATGCCTCTAGCAGGACATGTGCATCATGCCCTGGTTTGGGGAGTTGGGTCATGCTAAAGATAAACTCCACAGCTTTTGCTCACAGTGTGAGTGGGGATCTGACGTTCTGTCCATCAGATTTGAATGATGGAAGACCAAAACTTGATACATCTGGGGATATCTCTGGTCCCTTCCTTAAACACACCTTATCCATGGCTGTGCAGCAGAGGGATTCAGCATCCTGGGGCTGTGGCCGCTGGTTTGCATCCAGAGTAGACAGAGGTTGTAAAGGGGGTAGTAAACCCGATGTTCCTTGATTTAACATGTCAGAACATGCAGGTACAGCAGGGGAAAAGCAGGCTTTCATTAATGTTCAGCTTCAGCATTTCCCGTGCTCCCATACCAGACCCCTTCAACTGTTGCATTTCCTTTCTTACAGCTTTTGTATGTAATAAATACTAACATACAAATGTATTCATGCTTTCTATCTATTTTTACATATAAAACTTACATATGATGTAAGTACCACAGAATGGAAGCAAGTCAGAATCCTTACCAGGGTTCTCTGAGCTCGGTTGTCCTACTTAGAGATTTCACGACCCACATTCAGGTCTCCAAATTGGGAGGTAAATAAGTAAAAATGAAGCATGATCAAGTACTTCAGCTCAAGCATCACCCTTGTTGTGAGGGAAGCTGAGTAAACCAACACAACTGGCACGGCTCAAGCGTAGATGCTGTCAAATACTAAACTGCTCTCATTTACATCAGCTTTTGTCAGCTGTGCTTCTCCAGGAATTACAGATCCTGCCAGACAGAGACTGTAAAGCTCCCTGTGCCTGGGCACCAGCCCCTGTTTGCCTTGGCTGCCTCCCGTTCCGAGCCTCTTGTGCCTTCAGGAGGAGCTGGGATCGGTTTCTTCCCCATTCCCCTCGGTGCCTGTTGTCAACAGCTCCGGCTGCCACTCGCAGTCGATTTGTAACTGCATCAGTGTGTGTATTACTGTTCCCATCGATAGCACAATTAATGTTGAAGTCAATTTTGGTGTTAATTTTAGGCCATGATTAGTGTTGACACTGTGTGTCAAACTAACGGCATTTATGAGCACCATGAAAACGAACGTTAGTTAATATCGTGCTTTTACTATCTGTTAATGGTTACATTAAGGCAGAGCTCTAGTGGGAGAAGATGTGTATAAAATTATATATCTAAAACTTGTGTGTAATGTATGTGTGTCGTGCTGCTGTGCTATTCAGGGAACAAATGACATCTGAGCACTGAATCCTAATCACAGTTTGGAACATCAGAAATAATGATCACTTCTGATCGCAGGTTGTGAATAATTCATCCGCTTTGATTTCCACGTTCTGTCCAGTGATACTTTTCAAACCAAATGTGTTCCTACAGGAGAATAATGGCCCCACTTCTTATGGAAATACCGGGGCACAAATCATTATGCCAACATAAAAACAGTTAAATAAGACGGTTCCTGCTTTTATTTTTCCCCTCCCTCTGGCCTTCATTCCTGGGTGTGCTGGGAATAGAGCTGGGGTAGGAGCAGCTCTTCCAACCTGTGCTGGCTCTTAACAGGAGCTGTTTTGAAGGCACCGCTCCTTACCATCACCCAGTCTTGTTCTGACAGTGCTCTTATGTGATTAGCTCAGCCTGTCCCATTAACCTGTGAACTCAGCACCTTTTGGCATGCTGCCCTTAACTTCAAAATCTCCTTTTTTCCCCTCAAATAGAGAGCCTCCCCTGCCCATGAATTTAAACAGAATCCATGTTGTTCATAGCAAAACCATCCTTAGTTGTGCTCTGTGCTTTTTATTACTGGATAAATGGCACAAAACATGCTGTGCATGGGGGAGGCAGGAAGACACAAGTTAGTAAAGTGGTGCACTTTAATTCTTCTTTTCTTAAACTGCTCCATATTTGTTACCTATAAACTATTTTTCTCTTTACTATGCCCTGGCTTGGTAGTTTTTCCTGTTCTACTCATCAGCATTAACAAAAGGGATTTTATTTGTGTAGAGGCTGCACAGTCTCAGGTTAGGAAGCTATTCCAAGAATTCTATTATAATCTGAGGTATCTAAATAGGAAAAGCTTTTAATTTTCCTGTTTTCTGTGCTGTCAAAAATCAACACATTGATGAAAGCAAGGAAAATCCCTTAGATGTATAGGTAAGAGCCTGTGGACCCAGTCCTGGGTGCTGATGGAGCTCAGTCACTAGTCCCTAAGCCCTGGGGTGAGCGTAAAGTCACCTGCCTCGCAGGTGAGCTGAGGGTGCCAGGATGTTAGTGCCAGTTCATTGTGGTTATCCTGCAGGTTTCTGGCAGTGGCTTCATGTGTTTCCATCTTGCACTTTACTGTGCTAATGAGTATTTAGCAAGTATAAAGCCTGAGCATCTGAGTTGCTTGTGTGGGTTGTGCTCATCTAATGGTGCCTGAAGCTTCCTGGGGTGGTCCTGGCTGATGGGATCAGTGCAGCTGCAGAGGCACCCTGTACAAGCCCTGTAAATCGGTGTTTGTGCCATGTTGGGTAGTGCGGTTTTAAAGAGAGCATTCCCCCACCTTCCCTGCAGGTTTCCATCAATAACTGGAGCTGGTTTCTGAGGTGGTATCAGAAAGTTCTCTAAGTGCCCACTTACGGATTTTAGTTGTGGCAGGGATAAAAAAAAACCCTATAAAGGATGGTAAAGAACTGAGCTGCAGTATAGGCAGCCATCCCTTACTTCTTAATTTTGAATTCTTTAACCTTGGATTTGTAGCCTTTTTTAACCTGCTGTTTCTAACTGCAGGCTTGAGAGTTAGCACAGAGGCAGACTATCCAGCCCCTGGCATCTTTTTCTGCTATGAAAGTCCATCAGCAGAAGAGCAGAAGTCCAAGGAGCCTGTGTGGTTTCGTTTGGGATCCATTAGGTTCCTCTGCCAGCCTCTGGACTCGTCTCTGTGACCCCCCAGTCTCTCTGTACCCATTTGTTCTACATCAACACAACTTTCTCCTATAATTTGGCAATAGTACTGGTATTTGAGCAAAGCATCCCACTGCCTTCTATGGGTTTATCCTCCTGCCTTTCTGAGTGCTGCAGTATCTCTCTCTTGCAAAGGCTGCAGTTGGATGCTGAGATGTAACTGTAAATCTGCAGATACTCAGAGGCAAACACATTCATCCCTTACGACACATCAGTCAAAATAGCAGCGGATGGAACTGAGGGGAAGGTGAACTCAAACACCCTCATTCTGTTAACTTGCAATCTCAGCTCTCGGAATGGGAGGTGCAAGGGAAAGGAGCTGCCAGTAGCCAGTTGTAATGGCTTTGGATTGCTGCCTGCTTTACTTCCAATGACCCTTTGATTAATTCCTCTCCCATTTTATTTTTTTTAATGAGCCTATTATGGCATATCTTATTGCAGATGTTGATTGGATCTCAACTGTGTATTGTGCCGTTTTGATTTGGAATAAATGGCACATATCTATCTGCTGCTTCTCCCCTCTCCCCCTCCTGCTTTAGTTCATCATGTTCAGAATTCAGAGTCTCCACAATGAGAGTTTCAACCCTCCTGATAGCAGAGGATGTGCAATCGGCTTGAGGAATGTGTACTCAGAGCTTATGATCCTTGGGCAAGCGGAGACTGGGTGATGCATGTGGCTTTCAAGGGACGCTGCTATTTCCATCTGTTAATGGCATTCCAGGATGGCCAAGTCCCCAGTGCAGCGATACGTGGCAGCTGAGAGATGGGAGATGCAGGGTACAGATGTTGCTGATCTCCATAAGATGGGTCAGAAGAGATCATCTGGTGATTTTAAAAAGAGAAATATGCAGCAAAAAGCATTACTTATCCAGGCAGGTTTGGAAAGAAACTGCTGCAATGTTTGGGAAGCAAAAAGGGAAGAGCCAAAGAAATGAAAAGAAGGGCTGAAAAAAATTAATGGAGGCAGTTTTGAATAAAAGGATGATTAAAATGAGGGATGGTGACAGTGAAAAAAGGTGATGAGGTTCTGGGGTGATACCTGGGTAGCCCAAGCAGGGGGTCAGGAGTCTGCACAGCAGTACACCCATGCTCCCCCTGGGAGCTCTGGCACATGGAATAAATGCAGCACCCTGAGAGGGGTGTCTGCAGGATGTGTTTTGGACCCGTAACAGATCCCTGAACGGGGAAAGAGAGAACCAGTGTTGGTGTATGGGGTGGGAAGAGCAATGGAGGATGTGCTGCAGGGAGTCTGGGAAGCATTGAGACTTCCCAGCTGTGTTCCACACTGGCAGCACGTATCAGAGCTGGTCTTGTCGGAGTTCCCAAAGAAAATACACCAAGTGCAACACACAGTAAAATGCATAATTCCCCCCTTTCCCATCTTGAAGATCTACACTTAGTTGTTGTTGTTCTCTGCTCTTTGCTTGCAGGTTGGGATGGTGGCCTGGAAGATGACTCTGAAGACCCCGGAGTATCCCGAAGGCCGGGATATTATTGTCATTGGCAATGACATTACGTACCGGATCGGCTCTTTCGGGCCTCAAGAGGATGTGCTGTTCCTGAGGGCCTCAGAGCTTGCTCGCACACATGGCATCCCCCGTATCTATGTGGCTGCCAACAGTGGAGCCAGGATTGGTTTGGCTGAGGAGATTCGGCACATGTTCCAAGTGGCTTGGGAAGACCCCAGTGACCCATACAAGGTAAGGAGGCACAGGCGAAGCTCTGCAGCATCTTACATTTGTACTACTTCTTTTAATAGAGGTGAGGGTAGATGTTTGCCAGACTGTTAGACCCAGAGTTTTCCTTGCTATTGGATCTCTCAGGCAGCAGTCTTGGCGTCTGGAATGAACTGGTGCCAAACGCTGAAAGCATCCCTCGGCTGGAGCTCTGATGTTAAGAGCGGATTTTCTTGCTGCTGTCTGGGATTAAATCCTGCTCCCTCAGAACATTCTTTTTGGAAGGGGTTATTGGGAATTTGGAAGGGAGTCCGGGTGGGAATTTAATGAATGAACTGTTTTTCCCTGCAGGGATACAAATACTTGTACCTGACTCCTCAAGACTATAAGAAAGTGAGTGCCCTGAACTCGGTTCACTGTGAACATGTGGAGGACAATGGAGAGTCCAGGTAAGCACAGACAGGTCAGAATGAAAACCTTACTGTTCTGTACATGCTTAAGTACTTTGCTTAGCAAGGGCCTAGTGGAAAGACAGAAACCAGTCTGAGGGTGCTGGGTAAGAGGGGATTGTGCTGGGGAAGCAAGGCTTGAAAGATGGAAAGGAAAGGTAAGACCCTCATTATAATCTCTTGTTCTATTTCTTTTTCCTTTGAGCTGCATTCTTTTCCTGTCTGGCCTTTTTTCCTATAATCAGCCTGCTCCTCACGGCCTGTTGGAATGACAGAATGACTCTTCCATGGGCAGTCCTCTCCCTTGGCATTTTCTCTTTGCTGTGCTGCTTTGGCTACTCCAATGCAGGACTATTTCATGCAGAATGAGCCCATGTACTGGACGTGGCTGGGGTTTATGCACATTATTCTTTAGAGCCTTAATGATATTTAGTCACTTTCCATTTTCTGGGTAGCAAACTGATTCAGCAAATCATTGGACCTTGTGACTCAAAGGCTGCATGTGTCTCCCTCAGGTATAAGATAACAGATATTATCGGAAAGGAAGATGGACTTGGAACAGAGAACCTCAGAGGATCTGGGATGATTGCTGGAGAATCATCTTTAGCCTACGAGAGTGTTATCACCATCAACTTGGTAATCCCCCACTGCTTTCTGTTCTTCAGGCTATTGTCTGCTTCAGCTAAAAACCCTGCAGTGATATCCAGAAAGGACATCTGGGATCAGACTTCTGGGTGTTATGAATTGGCTCCCGTAGGCTTTGAGCAATGCCACAGGCACCATTGTGGAGCCGGGGCCCTTCCGGACTAAATTTAAAATGCTTGTAGAAAACTGTTATTTGGCTTCATATTTGCTCAGGCTCTAAGTTGCTAAGTCTCTTTTTTAAAGTAAAGATACTGTGTTTTACCTAAAAATAGAATCTGGAGTTTTGCAGTGAGAACAGGTTTCACAGCTTTGTAATACAAACATGCCTAGTGTTATCTGAGTGTTTGAATCAGAGGGGTTTGGCTGTGTGGTAAGACAGAAATCAATGTAATTGCTTTATTTCCTTAAGGTTACATGTCGGGCAATTGGAATTGGAGCTTACCTTGTCCGGCTGGGTCAGAGGACTATCCAGGTGGAGAACTCTCACATAATCCTGACTGGCTGTGGAGCCCTCAACAAAGTGAGTCTTTATATGTTTCAGTCTTCAGAGCTATGTGAATTGAGCTGGTTTTGTGGGTTCTGCTGGAGACCCAGGGAGCTGCCACCACTCTGTGTCACTGTGCTCAGACCCTTTTGCTTCCTTACTTGTGGGGCTCCTTTTGATCAAGGAGACCCAGCACAGGGCAGCAGCTGTGGAACTTGCCTTTGCAGTGTCTTTCCTTTGCTCTCTGGTCAGGAAGCAGTCCTTTCTTGACAAGAGCATCATACCGACAGCCAGAGGCACTGTTCCAGGCATCCTGGCTGGAGATTGGCAGGGCACCTCAGCACAACTGCACATTAAAGGGCTTGAGCATGAGCCAGGTGAAGGGGAAGAAGGAGAAGCAGCTTCTAACATAGTGTTGTGGTTCAACCCCAGCTGAAGCCAGGTCATGTAGGTTGTGTGCAGTGACTAAATGACAGCAGTGGGGAAGCCCACAGCTTGGCAGCATCTTCTGCCACCCACTGTGTACTGTGATGGAGGAAATGGGGCTCTTCCCAGTGTCTGGAAGCTTGTGTTTCAAAATTCATGGGCCCGAGCCTCCCTGAGCTTTCAGCCATCCACAGCATTGTGGGGGGGAGCAGTGAAGCCTGATGAGGGGTGTGTGGATGGAGATTTCCCAGGGGTCAGGAATGCTGTGGGCATCTCGGCTGTGGGAGCAGGAGGAATGCCTCAGGCTGTAAGAAAACTTACTGCTTTCACTCCTAAAGTGGCTCTTCTCCCCCCCTCTTCACCAGAGGTGCTTTTTCTCCCTTTGCTGCCCCAAGCCTATTAATACCACCGCCTCCAGCTCCTTGTCTGAGGCAGGCACGGCTCTGTTCTCATCCCTCTCACTGAGGGCTTTGTTTACATGGGAGTTGGGATTGTGCGGCGCGAGTGCCCTTCCCATTGTGCGGCTTTGTTCTCAGGCCCTCTCCAGCACCTGGGGTGGTTGTGCTTCATCGCAAGCTGTGCTTCAAGGAGTGCCTGCCTGACAATGGGAGATAAAAGGAAAATAGTCTCTCGTTGAATTATTTCCCTGAATAAAGGGGGCTCTGCAGAAAATGAAGCATTGATCCTATCAACTCCAGGATGCAGTACCCTCAGTTAGATCTCTTACACACGTCACACACCTGCATCAATGGAAGGAAAAGAGGCATTTGAAGATCCATCCTTTAAAAAGAAATTGAGTCAGTTTAGTGCTTGCTCAAGTGGAGTAAGTTGCCTGGTTCCAGCTGTCATTTAGGAGGGATCGGGGCCCTGCAGAGTTTCCCAGATGGCAGGGCCAGGCTGTTCAGTCCTTCTCTCCTCCTCTCTTCTTCCCAGGTCTGACTGCTCTCTCTACCCATGGAGTGAATGTTTCCATAGGATTAGATTAATCTCACTACATTTTAGGCACTTAAAAATTAAGGATTTACCCTAAATTAAGGCTCCTGTCAGCAGGTGCAGGCAGGAGGAGATGCTTTCTGGGGGTGACTTAGCCCATTCCAAGAGTTTTCCTCCCTGCACAATGTGTTTTTATGTAAGCATTGAACCTCTACCTGGCTGAAGGTCAGGCAAAGGAGGAGTCTGTTCCATCCTATCCAGCTTTCCCAGTGAGACAGCAAAGCCCAGACCCAGTAAGTTTACCTGTCCTTGAATAGTGGGAGACTGGGAATCCAGTTCTGGTCAGAGCTTTTTGAATGGATGCAGCTCTAATTGTGTCCCAGAAGAGTGATGTCCAGTGCTAACCTGAAGTGACCAAGCTTAGTCCGAGGGGATCTTAAGGAGAGGGTGAAGCAAATGGTGAATGCTAATGCAGGATTTACTTCAGGCTTACCCTCTGCTTCCCTGTAAACTGTTAAACTCCTGTCCTTTGAATTTAGATGGACAGCTTGAACTTTCTTTTGGCTAGAAAGTGGCTGGCCCAATGTCAGCCAGAGCCAGCTAAGCAAAGTCTTCCTTTATAGGGAATGCAGAGGCTCTTGGGTCGTGATGTATGAGGAGTTCTTGTTCATTCACATGAATAAGACTCCAAAAGGGTCTCGTGGTGGAAACCCATTGTAGTTCTCCTCTGTGGAGTGGATGAGCTCTGCTGCTTCTTGTTCCCTTAGAGCAGATGGTGAGAAGAGCCTGTGCAGCAAAGCCAGTGCTTTACTGCATGGGAATCAAAGGTCCCCAGTCCTGCTGACAGGGTCTGGAGGAAAGATCATGGCTGAAACAGAAGTAAATGCAAACTGCTGCCTTGCCTGGCGGTTGGAACTGGAGGTATCCTGACCCAGTTGTATGGAAATATTCCTTGAGCTTTTCCCAAATTAGGTCCCTGAGATCTGGGACAGGTTTTTCCATTGCTGACTTTTAGCTGCTGTCTTCCTGGAGGATGTGTCTACAGACCCATCTTCAGAATGTCTTCTGTCTGGAGGAAGAGAGCATGCAGTGCAGAAATGGGGACAGTTGGGCTTTCAGGGAGCAGGGAGGGGGCTTCGGGGCTGGTTTTGAGTTTTGCTTTGAATTTCCTTTATTGAAATACTAGATTCTTTCTCATTTAAAGGGGGAGCAGAGGGGGGCTGTGACAAACATTCTGCGCCAGCAGATCTGTTGCCGGTCTTCTTCATTATCATTATGTAAAACCAGCCTGAGGGTTTAGGTGTAGAGGGAAAGGTCCAGCTGCCAAAACCAGACTGTAACCTATAACTTAGATGATGAGCTCAAGGTCAATAGCATTTTTAGCTGGAGCTAATGTTTGGTTAATCACGTGCTGGCTGCGTCCGTGTCACTGCTTTGTGAGCAGAGAGGCACATCACTACGAGACACCTGATACCAGGCAGGTTTAAGCACTCTCTCAGCCCCATTGCCTGTCAGGGGTGACAAGAAGCAGCACAGGAGCTGTGTGAGGCTTCCCTGTGCTCCTGATGAAGCTGTCTTTGTTCCTAGCCCACACCGACAGGCATTGGGGGGGCAGACCGGGCCCAAAGGTGGCGATGCTCCATGGTGGGGATGCAGCGCTCTGCATGCGGGGCACTGGGGCTGTGTTTCATCCACCCCCCCTTTTGTCTTCCCCCAGTGCATTTCAGCAGGGGGTGGAGAGGTGGAAATGACATTTCATTCCTGTGCCGGGAGCGTGTGCGCGCGCCTGTGCCGAGCCCGCTGACCCCCCTGGAAATGGAAATAATGATAATGCGCGTCTCCTGACTGCATCAAAGTATCAGCACATCAAAAGCCAGGAGGCATGAAATGCAAATGATAAAGTGAAAGCAGATGGATTGTGCATGATCGCCTGATGCCCAATGAATTTTAAGAGCTGCCGGTTCACATGGGGAGAGGGGCTGAAATAAACACGTTATCCCGGCAATTCCGCTTTTTGTTCTCTGCTGCTCACTCCTGACAATATTTTTTCACACTCCAGCGAGCAGCCACTCCATCTCCCTCCCTCTCCCTCTCCTGGCTCTCGCCCTCCCTCTCTCTTTCTCTCTCTCTCTCTCCAGTGCTGTCTACCTCGCACACGTCTCGGGTCATGTCGCCGCAGCTCCGGTGGAAATAATAAGATCTAAAGCACGAGGTTGTTATTTGCATAGAAATAGCATGGAGCCCCAGGCAGCGCGGGGGAAGGACACAGAGATCATTTGTCTAAAATTTTAATGAAAACTTTTGCTGAGGCAGAGGTTTTTATGTATATATATATTTTTTTTTTAACTTTGCCTCCCCCTTTTTGCCACCCCCACTTCCTCCCTCAACTCCCTTTCCCCCCAGTTTCATCCCTAACAGGTTCATTCCCACTGGTTTTCTTTCTGATAGAGGGAAGAAGAGCCCAGCACTCCCTGTTTATGCGTTGCTCATCTGGTTCAAGCTTCTAGTCCTCACAAGGATATTCCCAAGCCTGTGGCTGACCTCTTTGTAATGAGTTTGCTCCTTCCTTTGTGTTGAAAAGGAAGCCTGTCTTTAAGGCTGTTTTGTTAATGTAAACAAATAGTGGCTCTCAATCACATCTTCTCTACAGAGACATGTCTTGGGCTTCCTCAAAGGGAAGCCAGGTTTAGCAGAGATATGCAGAACCCTCTACTACGAACTTGATACACATCAGTGTTATAGAGAGGTCTTCAGAACCCTCTACTAATGCGGTACACATCAGTGTTATAGAGAGGTCTTCAGAACCCTCTACTAACTTGGTACGCATCAGTGTTATAGAGAGGTCTTCAGAACCCTCTACTAACTTGATAAGCACCATTGTTATGGAGAACTCTTAAGAACGCTCTAACTTGATAAACTTCAGTCTGTTGTAGAGAGGTCTCCAGAACCCTCTGCTAACTTGGTACACATCAGTTTGTTATAGAGATGGTCAACCTGGTATCTCAGTTTATCTTCTAAGTGATGATGAACTGTTCCCCACACTGCACTTCACAACAGGGCATCTAAAGTGGTCATCACGTCACTTCTGGAGGTGAAGGGAAGAATGTAACCAGTAGTGTTCTGTTTCCTCTCCTCCTGTTTGGCTTTGTTTTCCCTCAGTGATGTTCTATAGTATGTAGGGAAAGAGGCAGTGGAGGTGAAGAGTCAGAAACCACTGCAGTCTGAGCTGTTCAAGTCATAGCTCGGAACCAGGATTCTGGGTCTCGTTTTCAGTGTGCAGCCAGCTGCCTGGTTGTGGTGTGACACATTTGATCAGCAGTTACCTGCTGGCAGCTTTCTTGAATCCTTAGTTCATTTGTATTTGGGATGTGTTTTGAGCTCATCAGATGGGCAGTACCTGCACTGGCAGGGTGGGTAACCCCATCCTCAGGATTTCTTTCTGTGGAAGGTTTTGCGTTCAAAATGACCTTAATTTAAAAATACCTGCTTGTATAACCTATTCTAGACCTGAAAGAGCTCAGGAACTAAGCAACCAGGTCAGTAATGCACTGTTTCTAGCACTGAGAATTGGTGTGTTTTAGGGGGGAGAAAACACTTCTGAAGAGCAGCTTTTAGAGGGGTGTTTGTCAGGTGAACTGATGAGTGGAACCTTGGTTGTTTCCTAAGGCAACATGTAA